CGGCTCGACGGTGGAGGTGGAGGGTGGTGGCTGTGGTGGACCTTTGAGTTTATTTAATGGTCGAGTACGAGGACTGGGGGTTCAACCGGGAGGCAGGGGGTTCGACCAGGCGACGGAGGACCGTGGGCCATCGCGGGGACGGGTCCGTCCGGAGGGCGACCCCGGCAGATCCGGATGGTCTTCACGCCGGTGGGAGGCACTGAGGCGTCTAGGACGCTCCACTCTACCTTAAGCTCCTGAGGGGCGCGTGGTTGTAACCACGTAGTAGGACTACAGCCCACCACAGACACCCTCCCCACTCCTCACGCGTGCACACTCCCTCACCCTCTCTATGCATATCTCCTCTCTCCTCTCTCTCTCTCTCTCCTCTCTCTCCTCTCCTTGTCTGTGCTGTCTGCCTGACTCAGGCACTAATTCTGCCGATGCGTGATTGTGTGTGGGCTGCTCTCCGAGGGGGCGCCTGTGCGATCCGATGGGTAGGGAGTCTGTGCCCGGGCGGTGTCCGGTGCGGAGTCTCTCTCTGATCCCACCTGTGATGTTGGGTGTGAGGTTGTGGTAATCTGGAAGGAAAAAAGCCTTACCGGCCGACCATGCGCGCGACCGCCCGCGTTCCTGGCCGCTGGCGGCGGTGGGGGTCTTAGGTGCGACCCGTCGGCGGGGGTGCGGTGGTCACATCACGAGATGGGGCTCACCGCGCGAGGCCTCGAACACCCAATCCGCCGCGTCAAACAGCTCGGGCTCGGCGCGCGCGAGCGCCTCGCGCATCTCCGCCGCCACAAAGACGGAGCCGCAGCAGAGCACGAGCTGAGGCGGCGGCGTGGCGGCCGCCGCAACCTCGAGCGCCTCGAGCATCGAAGCCGCCGTCCTCCACGGCGGCGGCGGGGCGCCCGCGCCCGGCGCCCCACCTGCCTCTGCGCCGGCGCGCGCAACCTCCTCCGCCGGCGTCGCCTTCGGGTGCGACGAGGCGACGGCGACGGCGACGCTCGCGCGTGGCCACAGCGCGGCCAGCTCGCGCAGGATGGCGGGCAAATCCTTGTCGCGGTTCGCGCCGCAGACGACGGCGACGGCGCCGACCCCGCCCGCGTCGCCGCTCCCGCCCTCGCCGCTCACGACCGCGGCGAGCGCGCGCACGGCCGGCTCGTTGTGCGCAACGTCGAGCAGCAGCTTGCCGCCTCTCAGCGCGCGCGGCGAGAGCGACTCGTACCTCGCTGGCCAGCGGGTGGAGACGAGAGCGCGGCCGCGCGCGGCGGGCTTGTCCGGCAGCAAGCCTCGCTGCGCGAGCGAGCCGACCATCGCCAGCGCGAGCGACGCGTTGGCGGCCTGGTGCGGCGGCGACAGCCAGGCCGGCGGCGCGGCGCCGGCAGGCAGGGACGCCTCGAGCGGCGGCATACTCTCCTCCGTGGTGAGCGAGGTGCCGGCGGCGGCGGCGGCGGCGCGGAGCACCTGCAGCCAAAGTCGCCCGCGTCTGCGACTGGACAGGAGGCGGTGCCCTGGCTCGGCTCGGCTCGTCTGGTCTCGGCTGACCTCGGCCGATCTCGGCTGATCTGGGCTGATCTCGGCTCATCTCGGCGGCGGACGGTCGCCTCTGCGGCGTCGGCCGCTTGAGCGACGGAGAAGGCGGGGACGCCCCGCTTGAGGATGCCCGCCTTCTCGCCCGCGATCTCGCGCACCGTCGAGCCGAGCACGTTGACGTGGTCGAGTCCGACCCGCGTCACTCCGCACACGCGAGGCGAGAAGTGGTTCGTCGCGTCCCACCTAGGCGGCGGGAAGAGGCGCGTGAGAGGGCACCCGTGCCGGTGTCCGGAGGGGGGAGGATTCGGCCGCAGCGGTGGGCGACTCAGGCGCGGCGGCGGCGGGCGGCAGCGGTGATGTGGGCTGCTCTCGGAGCGTGAAAGCACCTGCCACCCAGCCCCGTCTCGAGGACTGCCCAGGAGACACCGGCGGCGTCGAAGCAGAGGAGCGCGAGCGCGGTCAGCTTCTCGAAGGGTGAGGCGCCGCCCACTGCCTCGGCTGCCGCGCTCACTCGCGCCATGCCCGCGACGACAGCCTCGCGAGAGACCAGCGCGCCGTCGATCCGGATGCGCTCGCGAAAGCAGTGGAGGTGCGGCGATGTGAAGAGACCGACGCGGACGCCGCTCTCGCGCAGCATCGCCTCGCACAGAGCAGACGTCGTGCCCTTGCCGTTCGTGCCTGCGATGTGCACCACGTGTAGCGCTGCTCCCGGCCGACCCAGTCGGTCGAGCAGCGCCTCGAAGCGCGTCCAGCACTCCTGCGGGTTCTTGTACCGCGTGGCGGCGCCGGAGTAGTCGGCGTTACTGAAGATGGAGCGGACCGCAGCGGCGTAGGCCTCCTCCGGCACACACATATATGTGTGTATGCCTCGGTACGCCCACCACGTGGCCGGCCGGTGTGGGTTCCTCACCTGATATGGGGGTGTGGGAGCATGCCGTTATCTTCTTTGCTGGGCAGGGGACTGGCACCAGGAAAACATTGTTGCCGTCCGAGAAAAAGAATTCCATCGCTTTAGCTTTAAACTCTCGTCAATAATAAAGAGCTGGGTCTGTTATATGCACACAAGCCGCTCGTCCTCCCTCCCTAGCTAGAAGCACTTGCGGTGCACGATGGAGGGGCCTGACTCGTCGTACTCCTGCTTCGAGATCCACATCTGCTGGAAGGTTGAGAGCGAGGAGAGGATCGAGCCGCCGATCCAGACCGAGTACTTGCGCTCCGGCGGCGCGATGATCTTGACCTTCATCGACGCGGGCGCGAGAGCGGTGATCTCCTTGGACATCCGGTCGGCGATGCCGGCGTACATGGTGGTGCCGCCCGAGAGGACGACGTTGGCGTAGAGGTCCTTGCGGATGTCGACGTCGCACTTCATGATCGAGTTGTACGTCGTCTCGTGCACGCCCGCCGACTCCATCCCCAGGAAGGAGGGCTGGAAGAGCGCCTCGGGGCAGCGGAAGCGCTCGTTGCCGATGGTGATGACCTGCCCGTCGGGCAGCTCGTACGACTTCTCGAGCGCCGAGGAGGAGGCGGCGGTCTGCATCTCCTGGTCAAAGTCGAGCGCCACGTACGCCAGCTTCTCCTTGATGTCGCGCACGATCTCGCGCTCGGCAGTGGTGGTGAAGGAGTAGCCGCGCTCGGTGAGCAGCTTGACCATCCAATCGGTCAGGTCGCGGCCGGCCAGGTCGAGCCGCAGGATGGCGTGCGGCAGCGCGTAGCCCTCGTAGATGGGCACCGTGTGTGAGACGCCGTCGCCCGAATCCATCACGATGCCGGTGGTGCGGCCCGACGCGTAGAGCGAGAGGACCGCCTGGATGGCGACGTACATGGCGGGCACGTTGAAGGTCTCAAACATGATCTGCGTCATCTTCTCGCGGTTGGCCTTGGGGTTGAGCGGCGCCTCGGTCAGTAGGACGGGGTGCTCCTCAGGCGCCACGCGCAGCTCATTGTAGAAGGTGTGGTGCCAGATTTTCTCCATGTCGTCCCAATTGGTGACAATGCCGTGCTCGATCGGGTACTTGAGCGTCAGGATGCCACGCTTGGACTGCGCCTCATCTCCCACGTACGAGTCCTTCTGACCCATCCCGACCATCACGCCCGGCTGACGCGGCCGGCCGATGATGGAGGGGAAGACCGCGCGCGGCGCGTCGTCGCCGGCGAAGCCAGCCTTGCACATGCCGGAGCCGTTGTCGACCACAAGCGCCGCAACCTCGTCGTCAGCCATGTTGTACGGGAGTGGTGGTGGTTATCTACGGCGGGGAGGCGGCGAGGGGTGACGACGGCGGCGCGGGGCGGCGGCGGCTGACACCCTCGGCGCCTCGCGTGTTAGATAGCGATGTTTTCCGACGAGCGTCCTTGCCTTGCCGCGTACCAGTACTCGAGTAGAGTACTTGCCGCGTAGCGGTACCCAACGGAGCCTGTTCGGGAGCACTTGAGCACTGGATAGGGGGGTCGATTCGCATGGTACGGGACCCCTGGTTCTGAGAAAATTGTTTTGTTCCATGTGGTTGGCTGAGGGTCTCAACAGTACCAACCAGCCAGCCGGTGTTGCGCCGGTGAGCGCTCTTCACACTTCAGTCAGTCAGGCAGGCCTCACTCAGTCAGCGAGCGGGCGCGCTAGCCTACCGTCGGCTATATACGGCTTTACGTGTACACACCCCTAATTCTCTGGTAGGAGGGAATGGTAGGACGGGAACGAGAGAGGCTCTCGCGTACGCACGACTACGCAGAAAAGCCCCTATATACGACGAGAGGGGAGAGGAAGAGAGCGCGCAGCCGCCCCCCCCCCCCCCCCGGCCCCACACGGATGGCCAACCCATGCCGCATGCGATGACGCCCCCCCCGCCCCACTGCATGTGTCGAGTGCTCGACTGCGTGACCAGCGCAGTGGCCAGCCCAGCCTGCAGTCACGCAGCAACACGCGCAGCCTCTCTCCCGCCCGGCCAACGCCCCAGGCCCCCAGCCGACACCGCGGTCCGCGCTCTCACGAGAGTGCGCGGGAATGAAGCAGGACCGGACAAAAACGATTTAATCGCGAGATGAGGGGGGCGGCAATACCAATAGCGTCTCGCAATATCTATATATGTATACACACACGAGACTCTCTCGAGACACGAGACCCAGTCACCCGGTACCAGTCCGCACACAAGTCACAGACGAGAGACCACGAGCACCCCCGAAGCCCGATCCACGAGATGACCACGCACAATGTATGGTAAAAATGCCGCGCCACCATGCCATACGCGAATATAGGACAGTGTATACACGACACCACTCGCCAGAGAAACTCCTCAAAAAGCCGCAGAGCACCCCTCCCACAACTCCTCCTCCTCTCCGCGGCGAAAATCGAGGGGCGTCGTGTCCCCGCGGAAACCCTGGCCGGCAAAGCCGCGAAATCGGCTCCAGCACGTAACGTAAGGCGAGCGAAACCACGGAGACTCGCTGCGCGCGCAACCTGACACACTGTGCAGTATGCTCGTCCGCATCTCAAGCCCTCAGCGGCAAGACCCGTTGACGCACGGCCGCTTGCTCGGAGGCGCGGCGCCTACGGGCTTAAGACCAGCGCGCGTCGGCGTGCGAGGCCGGGCCACACTGCGCTGCTCGGCCGGGTCGTCGCCAGCGCTCGCGCCGGCCGCGTGTCCTCCCGGGGGGGTCCCTGGCACCTGCGACTCGGGGCGAGGGGGCGGCTGAGGGCGCGCGACGCTGTCGACAGCCGTCTCGTGCGCGGGCCGCTGCAGACCGCGTCCTCCTCCTCCTCCGTGTCCGACCCTTGGTCGCGGGAGGGCCGCTCGTGCCACCCCGCGGCCGGCGCGGCCCAACCTCCATTCGACAGCCCGCCGCCGCCGCCGCTGCCGCCGCCGCTGCCGCCGCCGCTGCCGCCGCCGCCGCCGCTGCTGCCGCCGCCGCGGCCGCCGCTGCCGCCGCCGCCGCGGCCGCCGTAGCTGCCCCCGCCCTGGTAGGGTGCGGGGGCCGAGAGGGTGGGGGTCGCGCCGGCGGCGGGCGCACAGACCGCCGACGAAAAGGAGTGGACCGAGTCGATCCGTCCCGAGGCGTGGCCGACGGAGCTGCAGCAGCCGGCGCCGCCTGGGGTCTGGTGCCGCGTCGGCGGCTGAGCAGGGTAGGGCGGCTGCTGGTGCGGCGGCGGCTGCTGGTACGGCGGCGGCTGCTGGTACTGCTGCGGCTGCTGGTACGGCGGCGGCTGCTGGTACGGCGGCGGCTGCTGGTACGGCGGCGGCTGCTGGTAGTGCTGCTGCTGCTGGTAGTGCTGCTGCTGCTGGTACGGGGGCGGCTGCTGGTAGTGCTGCTGCTGCTGCTGCGGCGGCGCGCCCCCGTGCGGCGCAAACGGCATCGGCTCGTCGGCCGGCTCGTCGCCGAACATGTCGTCCTGGCCGAGGGGGGCCGAGGGTGGGGGTGCGGTGCGGGCGTCAAGCCGTGGGGCAGGGATGTGATTTGCGATCTCGTGCGCGGCCTCGGCGCTCTCTGGCGGCGTCGGGCTGGCGGCCGAGTGCGCGCACCTCGTCGCCCAGCGATGCGGCCTCGACGACGGTGGCGAGGACGGACTCGACGGAGAAGGGTGCGCCCGTCTGCGAGCGTGGCTCCGAGCTCAAGAGGATTGGCTGGCCGGCCGCCTGTGTGCGAGTCCGGAGCTCCTCAGGGAGGCGGGCTGGCGAGCGGCTCGTGAGGGGCGGCTCGCGAGGAAGGGGAGGGCAGGAGGCGTCGCCTCGAGCCGGAGCGTCACGCGGTGCTCGAGCTCCTTGACCAGGCTGAGCAGGGCCTGCGGCGAGATGCGGGCGAGATCGGCCGAGGTTGGTGGCGAGGAGGGGAGGGCGAGGGAAGGGCGAGGGAAGGGCGAGGCGAGAGAGGCGAGGGCGAGGCGAGGGCGGAGGGGAGGGCGGAGGCAGGCGCGGCCTTGAACTCGCGAAGCGAGAAGGTGACCGACACGCCGCTCGAGGCCGGGTTGGGCATGTATGCGTGCAGGTTCTCGGGCGAGATGGAGAGCTCGGTGCGGAGGCCGACGTCCTTCTGGTCGTCGAGGCCGATGTTGTCCGGGTCGTTGCGCAGGGTGAGCGCGTCTGCGCCGGCGCTGAGGGTCACCTGCCGGGAAGGGAGGGAGGGCAGGAGGTGGGCAGGAGGGAGGGAGGGGGGGAGGGAAAGGAGGGGAGGAGAGGGGGGGGGGGGGTCTCTCCTCGGCGAGTCCGGGCGGGAAGTTGTTGAGGCAGGCGAGCAGCGTCATCGGGTCTGCGGTGAGGCAGTTGAGGCACGAGTCGGGCGAGTACACTGCGTTGATCATCGTCACCTCTTCGAAGGCGAGGTCGAACTTCTTGCGGAGCCTGCAGGGGCAAGGCAAGGAGCCACACGCGGCTGAGCAGCGCAAAGGGCTTCGGCGGACGCGGGCCGGACGCGGTGTGCCGCCGGGCGGCGGGAGAGTGGCGACGCGAGCGGCGGCGTGCTGTGTCTCGAGATGACGGCGCGCCCGCTCGAGCACTCTTGCTGCACGCGGAGGTAGTTTTCCTCTCCGCTCGCCACCTGGACCCAGACCTTGCTCACGCCCGCCACGGAGCGGAAGATGGGCACCAGGTTCTTCAGGTACACCTTCATCGAGAGCTGCCCGCGACCGGGGGCGGTGGGGAGGGAGCACCGAGTGGGTGAGGGCGAGTGGTCTCCGCTGGCGCCGGGCAGAGTGGTAGCGGCGGCGGCGAGGGTGGCCGAGCGCTCACCGAAGCATTGGGCTCGAGGACAAACTCGGCGAAGAAGTCGGGTCTGCGAGGGCCGCCGGGCGGGCGTGGCGTCGGCACGTGCGACGTCGCAACTCATGCGAGCGGTCAGGCCGCGTGCGCAAGGTGGTCTCACCGGAGGTGGAACTTGACGAAGGCGGACTGCGCAGCGTTCAGCGTGCGCAGAGACACCTGCGTCGAGGGCGCGGCACGGGCCAATCGACACGGAGCCACTGGGGCGAGGCGCCACTGGACGTGGTACCTGCCCGCCGGACGCCTCGAGGTAGAGGTCCTTTCCGACGCGGTCGAGGCACGCGAGCATGCGCGCAAAGATGCGCAGGTTGTCATCGACGCAGAACTGGAGCGTGAAGGGGTCGGAGGCCATGGTCGAGAACGGGTGTAGGCGGCGGGAGCGCCAGTTTTTTCTTTCTTTTTGACCTCGCTGAAGCTAAAGTACTTTCTGCGGAACAAATTGAGAACAGATTTCGAAGAAGACGAAAAAATAAAATAAGAAGTGGCCCCGCGAGCTGGGAATAGGACCGCAGCGGCGTGCGTGGCGTGGGTCGGTTGTGCATCCCTCCGGGGGCCCCTCTGCGCCGGGGAGGCGTTGTTGGAGGCTAGGACGCAAGCGTCCGTCGCCCTTTTCAAACTCGGGGCCCACTCCGCTACGCTCCGACCCGAATTTGGAGGGCCTGAAAGTTTAAGGTGTTGCTGCGCAAAAGGGGTCGGACACAGGGCGCAGCTCATGCTAAGAGCTAGAAGGGGAGCTAGAGAGAACGACTACCCTGTCCCGTTATTGCGTACACCAGCACCACAAAAGCTCTCTCTCTCCTGTCCTCACTCAGAGGGGGGTCACAACTACCGAGTCCCTCGACTAGCTGCCACGTTGCCGCGACCGAGAGCGGATCTCCTCCTGCTCCGCAAGGAGGGCCAAGGCTAAAGTCTTGCCGGAGCCGCCGGGCACTTGGAGAAGGTCGCCCTTCTACTTGTACTTGTAGAGATGCTCGAGGGGGTGCTTTGTGGGGCGGTGCGCAGCCAGGCCAGCAGTGAGGGGAGGCGCACCCTCACTCTCCTCGGTTGCAGAGCTCGTCGGAGGCTGCGGCACGACGGGAGGGTCGCGATAGCAGTCCTCGGGCGAGCCGACGCGCATGTCCAACCAGCGCTGGGACTCGTTGTGACGGCAGACGCCGGCTGCCTCTCCAACCGCTTTTGCAGCGTCCTTCTTTGCCCGGTGCATGGGCTCGATCCGATTCCGCAGCGTGTCGTCCCCAGCCGCGGGCACGCTGGGCTCGATCAGCGGCTTTCCCTCAGTTGCTCCGAAAGCACGAAAGCACGGATTTGGCGGACGTTCTTGGCTTCAATTTTACGGATGTGGCACGAGCTGAAGGCTTGCACGGCGCAGATCACGCAGTTCGTGCACGGTATTCGGATTTTGCTATTTGCTCGTGTGGGGGTATATTGCAGATTTGTCAAAGGTACCGCGTCTGCGACGCGGGCGCCTTGCGGGCAGAGCCCTTAGCCACCCTTCATATCTTGCGCGGTCAAAAATGCGCCCGAAAAGCACGCATGTACGGCGCTGAATGCGGCCTCCGGAGCGGGCGGCGCGAGCGTCTAAGTAAGTCTACTTTACTCAGAGCCTTCCATGCTCTTCTTTGCGTTCCAAAGCACACACTGCGCTCCTCTGTAGCATCGCCCGGCCAACTCGCTTGCCACTGTCATTGCCCCCGCCGCCCTCTCACTGTGGCCGCCCTGTACCGTTCGTTACCTCCACCGCCCTCGCCACCACCCTCGCCACCGCCCTCGCCACCGCCCCCACGCCGCCGCTACCATTCCGGCCACCCTCGCCGCCCCCACCCTCATCCCCACCTTGCCCCCGCCGCCCGCTGCAGCTGCAATCCCCACCGAAGGCGGACGCCGGTGCCGCCCTCGACGCCCCTTCGCCGCCCGGCGCCGCCCTCGCCTGCGCCTCACCGCCCCCTCCCCGCCGCAACCCGTCGAGCCCGCCCTCCGACGCTAGCCCCCGCCCTCACCGCCGCCCTCACCGCCGCCCTCGCCGCCACCCTCGCCTCCGCCTCCCGCCCCGCCGCCGCCGCCCTCCAGCATGCCGCCGCTCTCACCCAGTGCTCGATCTTTACCGGTATGGGAGTTTTTGGCTAATCAAACCCAAGGCCTGCACTAATCAAAAAGTGGTACGGGATACCAGTTGCCTCACGGAAATCAAAGCGAGTCGGAGTGCCTTCTTGGTGGCAAAATCGGCAAAATCGGCAAAATACCGGGTATTTTGCGGGTATACCTGGAAAAACCCGGGTATACCCGGGTAATACCCGCACTTTTGCATGGTTTCGCCCCCGGGACAACACCGACAGCCGCTACAACTATAATGAAAACCCCGCATACCACTTTCGCGTACCACTATACCATACCACTCCAAAACTAATCAAAACATCGCCAAATACCGGTCTCATACCGGTAAAGATCGAGCACTGCTCTCACCCTCTCCCCTCCAGCCGCCCCACCGCCCCAGCTGGCCGCCCCCCCCTCGTCACCACCGTCACCTTCACCGCCCTCGCCGCCGGCCTGCCCCAAGGCAGCGCGCAGGCCACTACGCAGACACACCCGGCTCTCTCCGAGCCGCCACTGGGCGCTCCCGCGGTCCCCTCCGGGCTGAATGCGGCCTCCGGAGCGGGCGGCGCAAGCGTCCTACCCCCCTCAGAGCCTTCCATGCTCTTCTTTGCGTTTTCCGAAGCACACACTGCACTCCTCTAGCATCACCCACAAGTCACCTCCGTTGCCACTGTCCTTGGACCTCCTCACCGCCACCGCCCTCGTCACCACCGTCTCCACCGCCGCTGCTCTCACCACCCTCGCCACCACCACCATGCCCGCCTCCCTCGCTGCCACCCACGCCGCCGCCACCGCCCCCACCCCCTCCGCTGCCCTCGCCCTTGCCGTCACCGCGCCGCGAGATCTCTTACACTATCCCCCGCCCTTGCCGCCGCCCTTGCCGCCGCCCTTCATGTCTCTACAACGAACTCTATATCATAAGGTGCGAACGAGGCATGGTCGCTCTTCGACATGAGGCGCGTTGCACTTGCCAGTGCTGCCCTGGCCTTCTGTCTGCCCGCCCAATGGGTGGGAGGTGCCTCTGCTGCTGTGGCATGCCTCACGGCTGCGACTGGCCGGCGCCTCGGCGCGTCAGCTCGGCTCGGCGTAGCGATAGTGGCCAGCGCAACTCGCCTGGACTCAACGCTCAGCCAGGAGCTCCCGCACGCGCTGGCGCGAGTCATGGCGCATGCAACGCGTCTGAATGCTCGCCTCGCCTCGCGCAAATGCGACCGTCCTCGCAGCCGACAGTCCACCGCCTGCTAAAGGAGCACTGCGACGAATGCGGCACCGGCGACGCATGGCAGGCTGGTCATGACGCAGTTATAGGGTGTTGTGTGCCGTCGGAGTGATTCTCTGTGTGTCAGGGATAGTCAGGGCCGTCCATCAGAGCTCCAGCAAGCTCGGAGACACCCCATTAGCGCGGCTCGACCTCTTTGAGTCACCGCCTTCCCGGCGGTTTGGCTGTAGAGCCTCTACAACAAACTCTACAGCAAAATCGCGCTCTACATCGCTCTACAACGGAGGCGCTTCGTCCCGCGGCGGATGTAGAGCTCTACAGCTCTACAGCGCTCCAGAGCGCTCTACATCTCTACAGCTCTACAGCGCTCTATACACTCTACATCCTCTACACACCCTCCCTCAGGCGCGGAGGTGCTGGGACATTTGCGGCCCGCCTCCGGCTGGCTGGGCTGCACGGCTGGGCGGCGCGGAGGTGCTGCAGTGAGGAGAAGTTGTAAACTTTTCATGAGATTAGCAGCAAAAACAGCAAAGCACTAAGGAAACTGCGCCGCGATGTGCGGCGGCACACCGGCCACGGGCCAAACACATCATACCTAGGTCCCTTCATACGCTCCTGGAGCCCAACCATGTGCGCCGCGATCCTCATGACCGCGGCAAGCAGGGTGAACGAGCCACGCCACGTAGTGTGCACAGAGCCATACGGTTGTCCACTACCTGGCCAATGAGGTGCTCCACACGCCCACGGTAGTGCTGCACCGTCTTGTTGAACCGTTGTTTCTCGAGGGACAGGTTCCGGCCTCCCATTCTGTGATGATCTGCCGCTGCCCGACGTAAGCCTTGTCCCCAAGACCATATACTCTCATGGCTTCATCCGCGCCTGCAGGAAGCTGGCCCAAGCGCCGCGCCCCCGCCGGTCGAATTTTAGCATCTAGGCCGTTGGGACAGCTCGGGACGGCTCGGGACGGCTCGGGACGGCTCGGGACGGCTCGGGACGGCTCGGGACGGCTCGGGACGGCTCGGGACGGCTCGGGACGGCTCGGGACGGCTCGGGACGTCGGGGACGGCTCGGGTGCCTCGGGACCGCTCGGGACCGCTCGGGACCGCTCGGACACTTCCGAACATTGCTACTCCGTTGTGACTGTGCATGCATCCAGGAGTGCCAGAGACCCTTAGACACCTTGATACCCCCTCGAGAAGCAATGATACCGTACCTGGCTGAAGTACCGAATCCTGGACGACTTGGAGGCCTCCCTGGGGTCCATCCTCGCCTCGACTGCTCCTGCTTCGACGGCAAGTACGTCACGGAGCACGTCGGCGCGGCGTACCTGCAGTCGCTAGCGCAGGAGTGCAAGGCCAATCGCGGGAGCATGAAGGACCGCCTCGGCTCGCTCCCGCCCACCGCACGCTTCCAGTCGCGCCCCGGCGGCGCCTCCAAGGTCGTGCTCTTCGACGTGATGGACACGCTGGTCGCCGACCCATTTTTTGGCGGTTTCGAGAGGGACCTCTTCAGCATCGATGGAGGCATCAAGGCGCTCTTTGCCATCAAGGATCAGGACTCGTTTGTTCAGTTCGAGACGGGCGCGCTGACGGAGGAGCAGCACTTTGCAACCTACTTTTGCGACCGCCGCCCGGTCGACGGAGGAGCAGTGAGGAGATACCTGCAAGAGCGGTATGCGTGGCTGCCCGGGATGCGAGAGCTCGCCTCTGAGCTCGCGGCGGCGGGCGTGCCCTTGGCCGCCTTTTCCAACTACCCAGCGCCGTGGGCACCACTCGTCGAGGAGGCTGTTGGCCTTTCGGAGTACGTGCCATGGGCGTTTGTCTCTGGCGAGCAGGGTGTGCGCAAGCCGAGCGCCGAGGCGTACCGCGCCGCCTGCGCCGCCGTGGGCAGGGGCGCGGAGGACGTGATCTTCGTGGACGACAGTGCGACCAACGTGGCGGCGGCGGAGAGCTTTGGTATCCCTTCGATCCGCTTCCGAGGCGCCGAGGCGCTGAGACCGCAGCTGCGGCGGCTTCTAAACCTACCTCTAGAGGACATCCAATTCTCGGTGAGGGGGAGCGGACCACCTTAAAACATCACAGCACAAACCTTGTACTAGTATGGTAGAACAGTGCTGATGCGCTGCGCGGTACTGCTGTCTCTGCTTGAACGAGAACCGAGAAGCGACACAGGTTGTGTATATTTTCTCGAAAAATGTCGCCCATGGCATTGCGGCAATGCGTATATAAGCGCGGTAGTGTGCTAGTGAGTAGTGTGTATGTGTCGTGTGGGGCCGTGACCCTCCCGACCCGTAATCGACACGGTAACTTTAGGTGCCCGCCTCACTGGTGAGCCGGAAGGTGAGCGCCTCCTTCTCGAGCCCCTTGACCATGGCGCCGAGCGATCCCGACGGGGCGTACAATGCGACGATGCGGATCTGCTGCCCCTGCGCCGTCGTGGCCTCGAGCACGACCGAGCCGGGCTGGCACGACGCCTTGAGCCTTGCCGCCAGAGCGGCGTCCGTCTCGCCTAGGAAGGAGGAGAGCCAGCGGTCGGACCTCGCGCCTCCCTCGCGCCTCGCCAGTCGCCGTCAGCTCGCGCCGAGCTCGAGCGCAGAGAGGGGCGGCCGCGAGAGGAGCAGCGCCACCGTCTCGACGCTACACGGTGCGCGCTGCCTAGGGGCCGTGTCTCGCGCGAAGCGTCACTTGTCTGGCGCGGCGCTTGGCTGAGCTGCGAAAGCCATCGTCGCCTGCGGATGTGCGGGAGCAAGTGCGGCAGCCCGTCCTGGCACACGCGGTATGCGCACCCCGTCCCCTTTGCCTCCTGCGCCTCGAAGAGCCGCACGCCTGCGTCGGTGGCACGGACGGGTCGAGGACACGTCTGCGGGCGCGCCTCGTCAACGAGATCAACGACTGCTCATCTCGCGCCGGTGTTGACGATGCGGAGGGCGCCGCGCGTGTCGGCGCGCAGCAGCGACAGCACCTCGTCCGACACGAGCAGCAGCGAGCGGCCGGTGGGCGAGCGAGCGACCAGGCGGTGCGCGGGGAAGGGGGCGGCGTCGGCGGCGGGCGACGGCGGCTCGCTCTCTGCCGACGACCGGTCCAGCCCGAAGAAGGCGCGCAAGCCGTCGAGGAGGGTGTCCGACGGCGTGTAGAGCGGCGCGTAGCTGGTCTTGGCGGCGGCGGCGGCGGCGGCGTGTGTCGCGCCGCCGTGCGCGTGCAGGACGGCGCGGAGGAGGGAGGAGGCCGGCGCTGGCGGCGGGGCCTCTGCAAGCCCGTCCGCGGGTGAGGCGCAGCCCTGTGCGTCGGCGGCGTCGTCGTACTCCATCGCGGTGGCACCGGCCGCCGGCTCGGCCGCCGCGGGCTGCGCGCTGGCGGCGAGCGGCTCTGCGGGCGGTGGCGAGTCGGCGGAGTCGGCGGAGTCGGCGGAGTGGGCGGCGGTGGCCGCCGCGCCCTGGAGGTTGGTGGAGAGGGACGCGGGCAGCACCGCCGCGCCCTCGGTGACGCACACCTCTGCCGCGCCGGCGGGCAGCGCGCCCGCCCGCTCCGGGTGAGGCGCGGTCTTCTCGAAGACGGCGACGAAGAAGCCGCCTATCGCCGAGATGTGGCCCGAGAGATGGCCCGAGAGATGACCCGAGGTGAAGAGGCGACGGGGAGGAAGCCCACCCTGGTTGGCGTCGTGCGGCATCAGGCGGAGGCAGCGGTCGAGGTGCAGGTCGGCGACGCCGTCGCCGCCCGGAGGGAAGAGGCTCTCCAGGTTGGGGCACTTTCGGCGGAAGCGGTCCTGGACGCTCGCCCAGTCGCCGTGCCACTGGCCGCGGTGCCACACCTTCCACCCGCTCACGCCCGGCCGGCAGGCGAGGCCGGGCAGCGCGTCCCTCGCGTCGACGAGGCGGAGGCAGCCGCCGCCGAACGTGGTGAGGATGCGCGCCTGCAGCGGGGCCGCAGCGTGGAATGGTGAGACGGGCGGTGTGGGGAGGGGAGTGCGCGAGCGTTGCGGAGCGCACCACGACCGCCTCGTTCTCGACCGGGTTGAGGGAGCAGGTGGAGTAGACGAGCCGCCCGCCCACCTGCTCGCGGCCACGGCTGTGAAGAGGCCCACGTGGCTGTGAAGAGGCGCGGGTCGCGGGTCGAGTGGGGCGCGGGCCGACGAACCTTGAGCAGCCGCACGCCCTTGCACCCTATCTCCACCTGCAGCGAGTGCAGCATGTTCCCCGCCCCCGCCGTCCACCGCCGCCAGATGACGGGGTTCTTGCGCAGCGTGCCGTCGCCCGAGCAGGGCACGTCGCACAGAACGCGATCGAAGAGAAGCGGCGCGGCGGCGGCGCCCTCGCCCACCGCCTCCGGGAAGAGGCGCGCGTCGTGCGAGGTGACGACGAGCGACGGAGAGTGCAGCCTGCGGCGGTGCGAGGGACGTGGCATGGCCCCGTCTCCCTCGGGCCAGCGCAGCAGGGCGCTGCGGGCGGGTGCGGAGGAGCATGCGGAGGGTGCGCGATGCGGCTCGCCTGGCGGCGCGGGAGGCGAGCAGCTGGCAGCGCTTGACGTCTGCGTCGTTGGCGACGAGGAGGCCGCGAGCCTCGTCGAGGCTCCGCACGGGCGCGCGCGCGGCGGCGTCCGTGTTTGCGATCCGCGCGGGCGCAGCCAGCATCTCGAGGATCTGCTGCGCCTTCGAGCCCGGGCTCGCGCACCTGTCAGGCGGGGGCGAGCTGGAGGCTGCAGGCGGGGCAGAGAGAGAGGGGGAGGGAGAGAGAGGGAGGGAGAGAGAGAGAGGGAGAGAGAGGGAGAGGGTAAGGCTCGTGGCGCTTGCAGTTTAGGTTGCACCCATTGGCGGTGGGACAGAGCTGGTCGTTCGCGCGATGGCCACAGAGGGAGAGGGAGAGGCGGCGTGGAAGACGCGGCGTGTGGTGCTGCGCCCGCAGCCTAGGCCAGTGTGCGCCGCGGGGCAACGTCCCCGATGTGGCGTGGGCACAGAGTGCCCACTGCATGCCCACCGCTGAGAGGGGTTACAGGAGTGCGCACATATCGAGCACGGCCATGCCGGGCCGCACGTCGAGCAAGAGCGGCGGCACCATCGACACCGCCTCCTGCCGCTGCAGGTTGCCGAGAGAGCTTTCGCGGAGCAGCCATGCGTGGAACGCCTTGATGGACGTCGAGCGAGGAGCCGCCGCCGCCGCCGCCTCCGGGCCCTCCGGGCCCTCGCCTGGGCGGTCCTTGCCGCGCAGCCACGCCCGCGAGACGCCAAACTGCCAACCGAGCCGATCAGGATACCACGGCAGCGACGTTGGCTGCTCGTTCAGTAGCGGGAGGAGGCTCTGCTCCATGCTGGCCCGAAGGCTGATCGCACGCTCGTCGTTGCCGCTGAAGCGCCAGGTGACAGGCAGAGGCGAGCGGAGGCTATCCTCCAAAGCGCTCCACTCCTGATCGGTCAGCCCAAGCTGCTGCTTGTAGTAGGCAGAGAAGGCGTCGTTAGTGACTCCTCGGAGGTCGCTGGCGCCCATTGGAGCTCTTTGACGCGATGAAGAGGCGCAGGGTTCCAGGGCGCGCAGGCGACGCGACAGGCGAGGCGCGGGCGCGCGGGCGACGGCTTCCTCAGAAAAGAATTCTTACGAGCCCTCTCACAGCACACTAGCACGACAAGGGCGCGGACTGGCGCGGACTGGCTGAGGAATCGAGAACCCCGCACTAACACAGGTACACCAGGAAAAGAATTTTCGCGTCCCGCAGCCGTTGCCCTCAGAAGATCTTCGCTGTGTGCTGCACGCCCTGCGAGCAGGGCGGGGTGCGCACTGTCCCTCTCTGTGTGTTCGTGTGCGTCGCCCATCTATCTATCTCTCCCTGGAGACGACTGGTCTATTTATTTATTTATCAGAAGATCTTCGACCGCTCTCTCTCTGCTGGCACCGGCCGCCCCCCTGCCGCGCCAAAGTCCAGCCGGACTTCTGTCGATCAATCAATCAATCAATCAAGCTTGCTTGAGCGGTTGAGCCCCACACACACTTTGCGGGAGATTTTTGTATTTTGAAGACCAACAAGAAATCGCGACTCTCACAGTGATTTGGGCTCGGCAGCTTGTTAGCCCTCAGCCGAAGCTGGGGCCGGTCCCGTAGCCGAGAGAGCCCGCGCCGATGAGTTCGACGCGGTCGGGGGGCCTAGCTGCGCGGCGGTGCGTCGGGCTACCTGCGACCGAGCAGCTCACCGAGCAAAACGGTCCGCTGGCCTGTAGAGGCGCGACTCGAGGAACTAAGGAGGGGCTGGTATGGTGTGTGCAGCCCGGAGGAGCCGCACCCACGACTAGAGAGAGCTCTACGCCATGTCGCATCTAAGGGGGGCATGGTGTGCGCAACCGATTGCTTGTGCTACAGAGACGCACCCCACATGCCCCACGAGCGCACGGCTACCTCTCAACTCTCACACGTTTCGGGGACGCTTTGCCCGTTGCTGGAGTAGCGCGTGTACCTCCGCAGCAATGTTCGCCTGCTGGGTGGTCATCGCGAGTATCTGCTGCTGCTGCCGCAGCAGCTGCTGCTTCTTCCACACACGCTGGTGTCGCGTCTTCGATACGTGCTCGTCCAGGGTGAGCGAAAGGGCCGAGCGGTTGGGCCGGGCAGGCGCCAACGCGCATGGCTGGCTGCGCTCGTGCTCAACTGCTAGCGATGATATGAGCGCGTCCAGTGTCTCCTCGCGGGGCGGGGCATTGCGGATGAGAAAGAATGGCGATGCGCGGCCGGAATTGCCGGTCGTCGCCACAGTGGGGCTGAAATGAGGCCGCGTAGGCGAGCGTGTGGCAAGCATCCTGGCACGTACCGACTCGTGGCGGGCCGGCGCTTAGTCTCGGGACCATCCGCCGGCAATCATGTCGGTTTTTCGGAACCATCTCAGATCTCATTCCGCATCCCCCCCCAGAACCCCCCCCCCCCGACCCCCTCTCGCGATACACGCGTAGAGGCTATTTTCTCTCTCTTCTGAGCCTTCCTGGCTGGCTGCGTTCTTCATTCACCTTCGTTCGTTCGTCCTACCCACCCACCTACCTCTCCGTCTTGTTCATTCATTCATCGTTCGTGTATGTGGCTCGCTCGTTTTTTTTGAGATAGTGTGTTGCTTTTGAGAGAGAGATTTTTAGCAATACCCAATACCAAACAAGTCTAACACTCACACGTCATTTGAGTTAGGCTGAACAAGCTTTTCCTCTCGCACCCCGTCTCTTTTCCTTTCCTTTTTCCTCTTCTCCCTTTTTTCTCTACAGCACCCTCTCTTTTCCTCTCTATTTTCCCGGGAAAACTCCAGTGAAACCATCAAATTTTCCGGGCTCTGAGCCGAGTCTGAGGCTGGTTTGGGCCCAAAATCAGCCAAATCGGCAAAATACCGGGTATTTTGCGGGTATACCTGGAAAACCCCGGGTATACCTGGAAAATATCCTGCGACCGCCTGGGTATCGTGCCGATTTCCTCAATTTTGCGTCAGATTTTGCCCCAGACCAGCTCTCAGACTCAGGGAAACTCGCGAGTTTCCAGAATGGAGCACCAAACACCCTCTGTTTTCCCTGGAAATTTCCGGAAACGCAAAGTGCTGGGCAGCCTGGGGACCCTCTGTTTTCCTTTTTGTTTGCCGGAAAAGCTTGTGCAGGCCAACATTTGAGGCCTGGAGCCCTGTTCACGCGCGCGCGAGACGTGCAGACAGGGTTGCCAGGTTGATTGCATTCATTCCGTTTTGTTTTGATGAACACACGAGGGAGGGCGAGACGATCGAGGGGTCCCGTTCCATGCGGAATCGACCCTAAAAAACTCTTGGACGGCACCACAAATAGCACTGATCAGCAGAGAAAAGGGAATTTACAGCGCCGCGGGAGCGGCACATCCAAGAGCCGCTCGTCCGGGAGCCGCTCGTCCGTGTCAGCTTGCAGTAGAAGCGTCTGTAGCGCGACTAAACCGCCTTCCGCCATCTCATCCATCCTCGCATCGACGGGCCATGCTGTACGCGGACAAGGCTGCGCTGGAGAACCGTACAAAGGCGCAAAGGCGCCGTCTCTCGGCGGGCACCAGCTCACGCTCACCTGCTGTAACCGCAAATCCGGCTGTGCAGGTGAGGCTGCTGGCCATCCGCGAGCGCGAGCTCGAGCTGTATGTGAACAACTGCCGGACCATGGGCATGGTGTCGGCGATATTCTCGGGTCTTGGCTTCTTCGGCACGCGACCACCCCGCCCCGCTCGCGCACCTGCCTGGCGGGACCAGAGGAGCGGAGGAGGCGGAGGCTGGGTTCGCGCCGTAGGCCTGGTCTACACCAAGCTGGACTACTTCAAGGACGCGAACTGCGGGTGGCACTCTCACCAGGCGCCCGAGTGGTCCGAGTGCCCTGTCGGCGAGGCGATGGTGGGCGGCGGCTGCCAGGCCTGCGGAGACGAGGCGCCGTGCGACTCGTCGGACTGCGAGACGGGGACCACGTACAGCGCGGCGATCGGCGCGTGCGTGCCTTGCGGCGGCGAGTACAGGCAGGCCCTCTTTGTGGCTGCCAACCTGCTCACGATGTGCTGCGGGCTCGAGGCCGCCTTTGGCACCACGGCCATCACGATGCTCGGGCCTGGGCTCGCGCTGCGCGGGCCGGACGGGTCGATGAACAAGGCCGTCGAGGGCATCCTCGCCGAGTACGAGCTCGTCTCGTACCTCGTCTACCTCTCGATCTACTCCTTCCTCGCTGCGGGCGCAGTCTTTGCCTTTTTGGCCGAGGCGCCCAACCTGCTCACCTCGCTGGGCCTGACGGCGCTCGTGGCGGCGACGTACCGCTTGATGGCGCGGCGCGTGCACGTGGTCGAGGAGAACTTCCCGATGAAGAAGATCGCCCTCGTCTCGGGCGCCTTCTTTGATCACTCGGCGCCGCGAGCAGCGGCCGGCGGAGGGGCGACCGTCACGGCGACGGTCACGACGCCCTCCGGCGGCGGCGGCGCGGAGCGCCCAAAGATGACTCTGGCCGAGAGAAGAGGATACGCACAGTTGCACGACATCGTGGAGTAGGGGGGGGGGTGGAGTTAGAGGGGAGAGCGTGGAGGGTGTGTGCGTGTCTGTCTCCGTCCCGTGTCTCTGCCGCCTGCCGATCCCTTGCTCTCGCGGCTTCTCCCGCCTTTCGGCGCAACTCTGCCCTCCTCGCGGCATATCCTGGCCCCTCGAGTTTATCGAGCTCTCCTCGCGCAAGGACGACTCTTCTGACGCCCACTGCGATCATTTGCCGCCAAGTCATATCGTTGCTCAGGTCCACTCTCTCTCTTCGGACACTTGTGCCTCCACCGATGATGCTGGCGCTGGGGTCCCCTTCGGGTGCATCGTGACAGCTGACGACGAGATTACCACTGGTGTGTCGTCCTCCTCGGGGTCGTCTTCCCCGGCTTCCTCCCGTTCGGCTCTACGTTCATTACGTTTAGCCAGGCGCCATCACGAGCGCGGGCTAGCCTCCTAGGAACCTTCTAGGAACCTTCCAGGAACCTACTAGGACTTTTCCCATAGGCCATCACGAGCGCGGGCTCCGGCGCGCGCGCGGCTCACCCTCCATGCCGTGAACAGGCGCTTTATCCACCCTATATTCTTCTCTCACTCCTCTGCCCGTGCCTTGGTCTTGTCGTTGTTTCGCACCCTTGTCTGTATGGCAATCGAGGCTGCCTTCCCCACTACCTGTAGTTCACTCGTCACCTCTCCTGCGAGCTCCCCTCTCTTTCTTTCGGGTATGGAGTCCGTGAGTGCGGGCAGCGTGCAGGCAATCACGGGCGCTATTTTGTCGTACTCCTCTTCGGCGAGCGCTCCAAATCCTCCGATGTAGACCCCATTGCCTTTAAGGAGGCTGCCCTCGCGCGTCTCAGGAATGCGCTGGGAATGCGGCTGTGTCTTTTGAGTCAGGCGCCGCCCGTTCGACTCTTGCTGTCGCCCTCGCCGCGTGTTTGTCAAGCTTCCGCATGAATGGTTCGCGTCCGCTTTTCTTTACCTCGGTGCGGCGTCTCCAGAGAGAGACCCATCGATCGTAACCCGAAAGCACCGACCTCACATCTCCCCGACCATCGATCCCCGACCGATGCTGCTGCGGTCTGGCGAACTCAAGGAAAAGGGTGCTGACATGCCCTGCTCGACGTCTGCGCTCTGGCTGCTCGAGACCATCCGTACATCGCCCTCCGGCGCCGGCGCAGCCGCTCCACCACCTGCGCAACAGGCCGACGCTCCGGCAAGCCGCAGTCTCCTTCTCCTCGATCTGGACAACACGCTGGTGCACACCTTTGTTGGCGACAGGCCCGCTGGGGATGTGCTCGCTTGTGGCCGGCCTCGGACGTGGTGCGTCAAGCGACCTCACCTCGCACGCTTTTTGCACGAGGCCTCCCAGCGGTTCGAGCTCGGCGTCTTTACCGCGAGCCCAAAATCCGTGGCCACCGAGAAGCTCGACTGGCTCGACACAGAGCGCGTGCTGCAGCGACGCTGGTTCCGCTGCTCGTGCGTCGAGGAGCATGGCCTCTACCTCAAGGACCTGCGAGTTGTGTCGGCCGACGTCTCGCGTGTGCTTCTGCTGGAGGACCTGCCCTTCATTGGCGCTCGCCAGCCCGATCACGTCATCCCGATCCGGCCGTGGTCTGGCGATTCGGGTGACACCGCGCTGACCGACTTGCTGCCTTCCCTCATTCGTCTCGCTCGCTGCCCGCAGCCAACCAAGGCGCTGCGCGGCATGCTCGGTCTGGCGGCCCGGGCGCGCGATGTCGTACGCCACTCGCCACCCGACGGGCCCTGCGTGGACGGGCGCAGTGCGACGTGCGTTTGCTCGTGTCCGCACGAGCACGAGCTCCTACAGTCCTTTCTGCACCGGGAGCGGCTTTCGCCCGCCAACAAGCGGCCACCGCGCCTCCTGGCCTGCACGGAGCGGATTTCGCCCGCACTCTCGCCGGCAGAGCCCTTCCCGCCGGGGAACGAAGAGAACGGAGATGCCTCCAACGTCGACCCCGGAGGCATGACCGAGGCAGAGGGCATCCAGAGCCTCTTGGACTCGGCTCTTCCGGGCTACGACGACTTTCCCTATAGCGTTGACGAGGTGTTTGGAGAGGCCCTCGAAGAGCTCGCCGGACCGGATCCCCTAGGAGGGCGGTGATGCGCCCACGAGGCAACGCGCTCCCCCCAACAGCGGGCCGGCGCGCCTCTCTGTGGCACCAGATCACAAACGAACGCGGTGGCACCAGAGGCAGGCGCATGTGTTGCCTGGAACAGCTCTGCAGTCCTTCTTTGTCACCCGCGAGCTCCCGCACGCACACGCGCGTCACACGTTTGTATGGCGAGCCAAAAGGACATTGTCTTTCTCCCTTTGGATTTCCTTCCTGAACCGAGTCAAATGAGTCAAGACACAAAACGAAATGGTGAACGGAAAGTGTCATGAAGTCGTTTTGCGTGATCTTCACTTCTCAAGTTCTCATCAAAGGTGTGTTTGAACGGGGGACGACTACGAGGACGCACAACTACGGTGGGCGAGGATCACGGCTGGCGGTACACGAGTCACGATTTTCGGCCGTCTGGACTGCGAGCCCTCTGGGCTGCGGGCCGCCCCCCGTGTTTGGTGAGCTCGCGCCGTCTCGCCGACCGCTGCGGGAGATGCCACGAGGGCTGCGGTGGCGTCCATCACCAGGCTGCCTAGCTCAATCGGCGACCCTCTGAACTCGGGAACGAGTCTGATCGGTCATGTGCGTACGCAGCGCCCCACGGTAGGCAGGGCCAGGGGCTCCGACGTAGTTCCTTATGAGATGACGTCGACGGCACTCAATCTACAGGAAAACCCAAACCAACACGCGACACTCTCGCACTGTGCCCCTCACACACAGTCACACAGTCACACACACACACACACACACACACACACACACACACACACACACACACACACACACACACACACACACACACACACACACACACACACACACACACACACACACACACACACACACACACACACACTGGTCACTGTCCCCGCACAAACCGACAGGAATCACTCACTGAGCGCCGAGCCGCGCGCGCAACAAGCACCAATAAGGAGACTCGCTTCACCGACCCGCGGCCGTCCCGGTCCCGCCTCCCCCTAGCCTCAAGTGCAGGCCCGAGGAGGCTGCCGTCGAGCTCCGCGACGGACTCGTCGCACGAGCCCCACACGGGTTGCGCAGCTCGATGCGCTTTTCGACGAGCCCCTCGCGGCACAGGATTTCGTCCACCGCGCGGTAGGCGGAGTTGAGCGAGCCGACGATCCAGGCGTGGTGCACGCTCGTTGCCTCGCACGCAAAGAGCAGCCGCCCGTCCACCTCCGCGGAGATCAGGTCTGCAATCATGCTGCTGAACCTGGCCCGGCGTGAACATGGCGTATCTAAGCGCCCTGCGCGTGCTTCTCGGCCGCCCAGTCCATGACGGTCCAGCCGACCAGCTCGTCCATGAGGCTCTTGACCGCACTCCGCCAGGTTGGCCACGCAGAGCTCGATGGCGCGCGTCTTGTCGCTCAGCGCGAGGCTGCCCATCCAGTCCGCGTCGTCCGCCCACGTGTACGAGACGATGAGCACGCCGGTGTCCCACTCGCTGCCATACGACGGGTACACGACCTGTCTGATGGGCAGGTCGGTCGTTGAGGTGCCTCCGTGGATTGGCGCTGCGCCCCTTGCCCAGAATCGCGTCTTGAACTTGAGGGCCACATTGGTCGAGTGGTCGTACGTCAGGCAGCGCTGCGCGGTCCGTTTCGCGAGCGAGAGGTTGCAGTCGGTGGTATCCATCAGCCGGAAGGCGTGGTTCGTCACAGTCGTGATGACGTGCGTGTACCGCTTGGAGAACTCGACGCAAAAGTCGTCATCATCGCGAGCGACCCCCGAGACGACCACGCCCTGTCCAGAGGGTGTGAGGCGCCGCACTTCGTGCTCGGTCTGGACGCACGGCCCATGGCCCGCGGCGATCTCGGCAACCATCGCGTCGGTCAGCTTAGCTGTCCCGCCCTCGATGAGGCAGTACTTGTCCTCGTTACCCGGGCCCAGGTCGAGGTTGTCAATTACGATGGGGGTCCGAGAAGCAGCTGGCGCCCGGTCATCGAGGAGCAGCTGGCGCCCGGTCATCGAGTCGATGCTCATCAGCTTTCGGAAGCCGCTTTCGAAATTCTTGCTGAGTGCGTCGAGGTACTCCTGGATCACCTTCGTCAGCCAGTGGTCGGGCCCCTCGTGCACGAACTTGTCGGGCACATTGCCACCCTTTGACGTCGAAAAGTGGAACGGGTCGGCTTTCCAGTCAATCTCGCCGACGACGCGGAAACCGTTGTATTACATGGTGATGCCGCGGCCGTCCGACTCGTAGTAGTCGCCTAGCTTGATGCCAGGGAGCTTGTTGGTCAGGGACCAGGGGACGTTGCCGACAACCCTGTCCATGATTGGGATCTTGGGGACGCGCATCGCGCCCAGATCGACGTAGTCCCACTCCTCCTCGGAGAAGTGGTGCGTGCGCACGCGTCCGCCGGGCGCCTCTGCGGCCTCCAGCTCCTCGAAATCGATGCCGAGCGACTTGATCAGCATGGCGGCGTAGAGCCCAGCCATGCCCGCCCCTATCACGCCGACCTGCAGCCGCTCGCACGTCTTTGCGGGCGGCGGGATGCGAGCCTGAGAGAGCAGGCAGCGGGCGCCGTCCACCTTGCAAGAAAGCCTCTGGGGCGAGGCTGAGTCGGCCTGGTCGCGGCCACTCGCCTTGCCTGGACGCGCGCCCGAAGCGAGGTGCTCCCTGGCCCGAGCTCCTCCATCACGCCGTCGGGCGAGACAGGACTCTTTGGCATCGCGTTGAAGCCATCGAGGCTGCTGTTGATGCTCGACCGCCGCTTGAAGGCGTGGAGCGGGTTCGGAATGCCTGTGGAGGGTGAGCGGCGGAGGGCGGATGGAGAGCGGGCCCTCGTCCGCCATGGCGAGAAGGGTCGATGCCGAGCTTCAAGGGCGATGCCCAGCCAGGCCGGCCAGGCCGTCCGGGAGAGCGTTGTGGCGATCCGCCACTTTTGGCGGGACGCTCGATCGGCTTGCTAACTTTCGACACCCCCCCCCCAACCGCCCGAGCTTGACCGTGCTGAGACGAAAGGCGGGAGAAGAACGAGAGCAAGGGAGCGGCAGGCGGCGCCGTTGCAGGACGAGGCAGAGGAGAGCGACGCGACAGAGAAAGAAGCGACAAGAGAGAGAACGACGAGAGTGGATCGACCGCGAGGTGGCATGAAGGTTGCAGCGAGAATCGGCGAGAGACTGCGAAGAGAGATAGGAAGAGACGGACGCCCAAGGGTGAACTACGGCTAGCGCATCACACCCCTCTCCTTGAAATCCCTGTGTGGTGGCGGCGTGCCGTCCTCCCCTCCTCCCTCCTTGGGTTGTATATTTTCTTTCTTTCCTTTTCCGTGCTAATAAGGCGAGTGGGTGGGTCTTTGGAACGCGAATTGTCTCGAATGTGTAAAAAAATGCAGACAAGTTTCTTCTTATTTGAGCGATCGCGCCAGGTAGCCGGTAGGAGCGAGCTGCCTCTCCGATGCCACGCGCTGCCGTCTCCGTCCCCGCCAGCCGACCCTCGACGGCGCAGGAGCTCATCTACCCCACGCACGGCTGCCGCGACGTGCTGCGGCGGCACGGGATCAAGCCGCACGACCACGCCCGTGACAACCGGCGGCACATCAAGGAGCTGCAGCAGCAGGTGAGCGAGCGCAAGGCGGCGGCAGAGGCGGAGGCGGCCAAGGCCGCGAGCAAGGCGGCTCGCCGGCGAGCGGAGGGCGCGTACAGCGCCGTGCCCTCCCGTGTCGCCGCGCAGCTCGCGGCGCGGCCGTCGTCAGCACCGCCCTCTCGCCACCGTCCGTCGCCGCGCAATTTTTACGTGGGCGCGCCGCTTCAGCCGGCGAAGCAGGTGACGCGGGCGGGCAGGACGGCGGCGTGGATCGAGCCGCCACTGCTCGTGCCGCCGCCGCCGCCGCCCGCCAAGTCGCTGCCGCCGCCGCCGCCGCTGGAGGCGGCGGCAGAGGTGGAGGCCGCGCCGCACCCCGCCTCGCCTCCACCGACCGACTACATCGCTCGGAACATCGAGGCGGCCAAGCACGCGAGCAGGAGGCGGCCGGCGAGCGCGCGCGCCTCCGACGCCGCCGCGCGCGTCCTGTTTGGCCGCCCCGAGCCGGCGGGCAAGCTGCCGAGCTACCTGATCGACCGCAAGCTGGAGCTGGCGCAGCGTGCGGCCGAGAAGGCGGCGGCCGCGATGCCGCCCGAGGTGCCGCCGCACCACCACCTGCTGCCGCGCGAGGATTGCGAGCGGGTCCTCGCCGATATCCGCGCCGCGCGCGCCGAGGTGCGGCACCTCTCTCCTCTCCTCCTCCCGCCTCTCCTCCTCCTCCCGCCTCTCCTCCTCCCGTCTCTCCTCCTCTCCTCCTCTCCTCCTCCCTCCTCTCCTCCTCTCCTCCTCCCGCCTCTCCTCCTCCCGCCTCTCCTCCTCCGCCCGGCGGCTCGCGCACTCTGCCGGCAGCAGCACCGTCCGCCACCGTCGCCACCGCCCTACCCCGCCCCGCCCTACCCTGCCCCGCCGCAGGTGCTCGAGGAGCTCGACCGCTTCCCCTTCGTCGTCGACACCCCCACCCAAAAGGCACGCCACGCGCAGCTCACCCGCGAGCTCGAGCAGGCGAGGAGCGGCACTCCTCACCCCTCCAGACTCTCATCCCCGCTACCGAGACGCGGAGAGCACGCCGCAGACAGCGCACCGGACACGCCCGCGCGACCTGACGCCGCCACCCGACCGATCGCCAGCCCGCGTGTCGCGTGTCGCCCCTCTCTCCCTCACCCACCTCGCCCCTCTCCCCGCCTCAGCTCGACGCGGCAGAGGACGCTTTCTCGCGCTCCAAGGCGAGGCTCGCACCGAGGTAGGGCAGCACCTTCGCCAGCTCTCGACCCCTCTCACCCCCCCTCCCCACCCCCCCTGCCTCAGGTGGTCGTCGCCGACGGGCCGCTCCCTTCCTACGACCGCGCCGCCGCCTCGTGAGAGCCCGTGCATGCCCTCTCTCCGGCCGCCCTCCTCGCGCGCTCCCCGCGGCGTGCTGGCGGCACTTCAACCATCTCTCGCACCCTCCGCGCACACTTGCGTGTCGCGCTTGCGTCTTGGGTAGTGGCATTGGGTTTTGCCGCGACGCCGGCAGAGCGTGCACTAGCTGTGCACGACTGAGACCGCCGTCGTCAGGAAAGTGGCCCCTCCGATATGTCGCGCCTGAACGCGGTATGTAGCGGTCGCGGTATGTAGCGACCCCCGCTACAGGAATCGTCCGGTGTTATGACTTAGTATCGGTCCCCACGGGGCGTGGTCTACATACTACATATCGGTCGGCGCGCTACATACCACCTCCGGGGGCGCTACATATCGGTACCGATATGTGTAGCCTGTATAGCGGCTATAGCGGCGCCCCCGGAGCCGGACATATCGCCGGGCCTCCGCGTATTCAAATTTTGAATCCGCAGGGTAATGACCAAGAAGAGCATGACAAATCAGCCTTCGTGTGTTCCGTGAGTTCTGTCGTGTGTCGACTCGGGAACCGTCTCGCTCTCTGGGGGGGTTTGGGTCCTCTCCCTCTCAGAGTACAGAGATTGCTCTCTCACCGCGCAGAGTTCAGCCGAAAGGGATCCCCCCCCCCCCCCCACCCCACCCACCCACCCACCGCGCGCGCGAAAGACAGAAGGACAAGCAGTGCCGAGCAAGGCCGGCGGAGGCTGGAGTGCCAGCGTGAGGCGGCGTGCGGAAGGTGTGTTGTCAGAGGCCTCGTCTAGACGAGGCGGGTGCGAACCGGCCGCACGCCGACAGCGACCGGGAGCGGTGGGTGCCCCCGTCTAGTGGGCCGAGTGGAGAGCGAGCTTGAGGCTGTGCAGCTGCCTGCGCGCCTGCGCCATGTCGGCAGTCATGCACTCGACGGCAAAGGCAAACGACTCCTCCATCCGCGAGAGAGTCGCCTCCATGGCGACCACCTGGCGGCGGGCGGGGAGGGGGGAGGGAGGTGGGTCTGGGGGAGGGGATGGGGTGGGGTGGGGTGGGGAGGGCGGGCGGCGTCGGGGGGCTCCGCAGCCGTGCCTGCTGCTGGAGCACCTTCCCTCCCGCGACGGGCCTCCGCCCGCCGTCCGCCCGCTCCAGACTCGCAGCGTCGCCGAGCGGCGCCGCTGGCGGCCGCGCCAAGCGGGCCGGCGCAAGCGCGGCGGCAGCCTCGACGCCGGCGGTGTCGGCGGCGGCGGTGTCGGCGGCGGCGGGCTCGGCGGCGGCGGCGGCGGGCTCGGCGGCGGCGGTCGGCAGCGTCGCCCAGTTCCTCTTGAGGTAGGAGACCAGCTGCGAGTGTTTGGGGGTGGGGGTGGGGGTGAGGGTGGCGCGGCGCGGTCTCGGCCGTCGCATCGCCGCCGGGCGGGCTGAGGCGTGTGGCGGGCGGGAGAGGTGTGCCTGCGTCTTCTTGTCGCCCTGCAGCCGGACGCGAATCAGCGAGTCCTCGACCTCCGCGTGTCCGAGCCGCTTGAGCCAGCCGATCACCTCGAACATCTCGCCTCCCGTCATTGAGAGGGCGTCCTTGCCCTCGACAAAGAGAGCAGCCATCCGGGCGATGCGACCGTCCTCCGCCGGAGGCTTGGCGGCGGCCGGCGCAGCCTCCTGGGTGGCGGAGGAGCGTGACGCCTGCTGCCGCTTGATGGCGTCCGCGGCCGTCGCCAGCGGCGCCGCCGCCTCTGCGGCCGGCGGCGCTGTGTTTGTGCAGTCGGCGAGCGAAGCCCGCCGAGGCTTCTCTACTGCGGCGGCGGGGCTGACGTGCTCTCCCACCCAATCAAGCAGCATGATCTTCTTATCGAGCTGGCGCTTCACCTTGAGAAGCGACGCCTCGAGCGCGGCCGCTTCCGCTCCGTGCTCGCGCTTCAGCATGTCGACGATGGCGTACATCTCTTTGCCGCTCATCGTGTCGGCCTTCTCCCCACCCTCGGTGAAGCGCTTGAGGGCGGAGGCGGCATCGACGGGCGCAGACTCGCGCTCCGGCCGCGGCGACGCCGGACCGGACCTCTGGAACTGAGCTTCGAAGGCCTTCGACATCAGGCTGGCGCGGCTCGTGTGGCACACCTGCAAGCGAGCGATCGAGCTCTGAGCGCCGCGTGGGCGGGCCCGTGAAGGGGCAGAGATTCAGAGGAGCGACAACCGGTGGAGAGCTCAAGCGGGACCGAAGAAATAACGCACCGGCCGTCAGCGGAGCTGGGAAGAGGACCGCCGCAAGCGGCGTGGCGTGGGGCGGTTGAGCATCCCTCCGGGGGCCCCTCTGCGCCGGGGAGGCGTTGTTGGAGGCTAGGACGCAAGCGTCCGTCGCCCTTTTCAAACTCGGGGCCCACTCCGCTACGCTCCGACCCGAATTTGGAGGGCCTAAAAGTTTAAGGTGCTGCGCAAAAGGGGTCGGACACAGGGCGCAGCTCATGCTAAGAGCTAGAAGAGGAGATAGAGAGAACAACCACCCTGTCCCGTTATTGCGTACACCAACACCACAAAACGCTCTCTCTCTCTCTCCTGTCCTCACTCAGGGGGGTCACAACTACCAAGTCCCTCGACTAGCTGCCACAGGGCGCAGCTGCCACAGGGCGCAGCTGGAGACGCTCCCCCTCAATCGGCATCCACCCCCACCCGCTCCAGCCCCACTTCTGCTGCCGAGAGAGCTGAATCGAAGCAAGCGAGCCATTGCATCTTGGCGTGCTCCTGGAGCGCGGCTTTCTGCGGCCACGAGCACGGCGGAGTCGGCGTCGTAGCGCGCATCGTTCCCGCTCATCGCCCATTCCTCCCACGTGACGTGTGTCGGCCGCGATTCGATGTCGCCACCTTCATCGCCAACGAGGACTCCCTCGACTGCAGGGGGCTCCGGCGCGGGGAGGGACTCCGCCTGCTGCGCTGGCCGACCGCGCCCTCCTCCTCCATGGGCTCGATCCGAATCCGCAGCGTGTCGTCCCCAGCGGCGGTGCGCGGGAGGCGGCCGCGGGCACGCTGGGCTCGATCAGCGGCTTTCCCTCAAGTTGCGCTTTGCGGGGACGCTTGAGGCTTGTCCATCTCCGTGCGAAACTGGTCTAAATAAAGCGGGCGGCGGTGGCGAGCGCGGACCGACAAAGAGGGTGATTTGCCACTTGCTTGCAAAATCTCAAAATCTCTCTCTTGCTTGGCGTCCCACCCTACCTAATAGTACAATTGTATAGCCGGTAAGAGCAGCACATTTGACATTCCGGGTTACACCCAGTTTATCGTACATGCAAACAGGACTAGAATAAATAAATAAATAAATAGAGCAGTCATCTCCCGTAGAGATGGGCAACGCACGAACACAGAGGTACAGTGCGCACCCCGCCCCGCTCACAGGGCGTGCCTCTAAAACGGGCAGCCGGGAGTTATTCTTTGTTGTTCGCGCGTTCGAGGCGCAACGATGTCAGGTCTCTCCTCGCCGTCGTTATCTCCGTCGCCATCGCCCAGCCCGTCTCCCTCCCCGCGACCGGTGGTGGGAAAGAAACGGGAACGCCGCGCTGGCGATCAAACGCCCAAACCGCAGGCGTCCCCATCGCCGTCGCCATCACCGCAGCCCTCTCCCTCGCCGCAGCCCTCTCCCTCGCCGCAGCCCTCTCCCTCGCCGCAGCCCTCTCCCTCGCCGCAGCCCTCTCCCTCGCCGCAGCCCTCTCCCTCGCCGCAGCCCTCTCCCTCGCCGCAGCCCTCTCCCTCGCCGCAGCCCTCTCCCTCGCCACGGCCGTCGCCGTCGCCGCAGCCCTCTCCCTCGCCACGGCCGTCGCCGCAGTCCCGCTCGTCGCTGCTCGCTTCGGCCAGAACACTGCCGGTGCCGGGGCCGCTCACTAACCCGTCCCACCACTCGCCGCCGCCACTGCCGCCACCGCCGCCGCAATCGCAGCCTCCGCCAGAGCCGGCTGCAGCGCTTCAGCGGCCGCCTGTTCCGTCGCCGCCGCCGCCGCCTCCTGCGTCGCTGCAAGCGGCACCGCCGCGAGCGCGCACCTTTGCCGACAAGGTGTCGCGGATCAGGGCCGAGCTGCTTCTGACGGAGGACTCCAGCGACCGAAAGGAGCGCGGCCGGCCCCTGCCCCCTCTGGTTGCCTCCCCGCCTCTCCCCTGGCCGTGGGCACCGCCTACTCTCTTCACGCCGTGCCGTCACCTCCGGCCCTTGCCGCCCGCAGGTGATCGTCGAGGCGGAGGGCCGGCTCGAGCTTGAGCCTCGCGGCAGCCTCGCTGCACGCGCGGACGCCATCCTCGCCGAGCTCGAGTAGCGCTGCGGCGGGTCGTGATGGGCAAGCTTGAGCGGGGTCTCTGGCCTAAAGCCGTGTGTAGAGCTAGCGCCCCACCCTCGGCGCTGCGCTGTGAATTTTTCGGGGTGGCGGTGAAACACTTGAGTGGGGAGGGGATTCGGCCCCCCGGGCGTGGGTGCCGATTTACAGGGTTTTAGAAATTCGACACTGTGTAAAAAAGTCAGTCGTACCGGCGTGGGGACTCGACTGCACACACAATTTTTGTGCAAATGGGACACTGCATGCACATATGCACAGCATGCACATTCGAGCACATGACATGTTGTCATGTGCATGTTGCATGTGCATGTGCATGCACATGCACATGTCCATGTATGGGTGGCCGGGTGTATCGTATGCGGACTACTTCCCAGACCTCTGCCTCGTGCACGACCGCAGAGACCACGGTACTCGGTAGCATGCACTCGAGGCGCTTGGTACACCTCCCGGCGCCCTGTCGGCGCCGCGCGCTCTCGCTCGGACCTCACCCGACCGCCTCGTAGAACGGCTCCACGTCCGCGAGCACGTCCGCCTCGTGCGCGTACTGGTTGGAGGGCACCTCGATCAGCGTGGCGTTGGGCAGCCGCTCCACCACGCTCGCCACCTGCTCCATCCCGTGCAGCGTGTCGGACGAGGCGGCCAGCACCGCGCACGGCATCGCCACCGCGTCGCACGCCGCAGGGAGCGTGTACCCCAGGTTCGCCTTCATGCTCAGCACGAGCCGCTCCAGGTCCTGCGCCGCGAGCGAGCGCTCGTACCGCGCGCGCTGCGCGGGCTCCTTCGTCTTCCGCCGCACCGCCCACATCCCCAGCGGCTGCAGCCGCGCGTACACCCGCCGAGGCAGAGGGAGCCGCAGCAGCGGCCTCGCCCAGAGCGGAAACTTGAAGGCGGGGTTGGGCGCGAGCATGACTGACGCGCGGCCGTCGAGTGCGCCGCGCTGGAAGCCGTCGAGCAGCAGGGTCGCGCCGAGCGACGACGAGAACCAGTCGACCGAGGAAGGTGCGACGCCGATCGCCGCGAGCACAGCGGCGATGTCGTCAGCATGCCGCGCCATCGCAAAGTCGGCGACGTTTGGCCGAAAGTCAAACTCGGCGGACTTCTTCTCGCGCGTCTCGATGTAGATGATCGGCCGGCGAGACGCCCACGTCGTTAGCAGCGGCCGCCATCCCTCAAAGACACTGCCCCACCCTGCGACAAAGACCAGCGGCCGGCGGCCGGCGGCGGCAGAGTCGGTGGGCGACCATCGAAGCACGCGGAGCGCGACGCCTGGCGACGCGCCAACCAGCCGCTCTTGACAGTCGGCGCCAGGGAGAGGCACCTCACCGCGCCAGAGATACTCGGCAGTGTCAGTGGCGTCGGCCGCCATCGCAGCGTCAGCGGCGAGTCCTGCTGCCGCGGCCGCGACGGCCGGAGCGCTTCGCGTGCGCACACCGCCGACGGTGCGCGTCGACCAGGACCAGGCGAGGCCCACGCATGATGCGAGCAGCAGCATAACGCAGGGCTCGGACTCCGGATAGGGTGACTGCCGCTAAGATTCTGGAGTGGCCAGGGATGGCGCACTAGTGGCCAGGGATGCGCACTGGCACTGAGTGGGTCTTGGTGCCGGGGTTGTGTTTTGTGTGAACAGAGTTGCGTGACTCTGTGCGATTTCGGGTCCGGGGTTGTGCGTTTACGTGAACAGAGTTCGTGTCTTGAGCTCTGTCTCGCCCCGGGGCGTCCACCCATACCGCGCTGGTGTCCAGTCCGAGCCTGACTGTTCTTCACCTTCCTCCCTAACCTAACCGAACCTAACCTAACCGAGCAGCAGAAAGCTCCGCAACTCGAGATCCGAGAGTTCACGGAGTCGGCTGGGGCTACACGTATACCAGACAGGCGCATTGGCACTAACACTGAACAAACAAAGAAATAGTCGCCAAAGAAAAAACTGCGGGACACTAGGCACGGGACTGGCGCGCACTGGCACTAACAAAGGAATATAAACTGTACAGGTCCTGGCTTCGGTTTCGCAACAGCTTCGTTTTCACAACACGGCCGCCTCGCGACGCCGCGCCATCGTGCAGATCGTGTCCGAGCCATCCACAAGGCCGCCGGCACATGTGCCAATGTGCCCGGAGCGCAGGGAGTCGATGGGTGCCGCAGTCCAAGCGATCACTGCACTGCAGTGCTCGCTCGCACTGCGGCGCTGCGCCACGGCGGCGAAGCATGTCTGGACTTCAAGGACAGTGCTTCTCCGCTGCTCGAGGATTGCGGCAAGGTCCAGGCCGACCACACAGAGCACCCGAGGCAGCTGGCGTGGCCTCACTCATGACCTGTGCTACCCGTCGGCGGGGCCAGCTGCGGTTTCACAACGCGCCTCATTTTTGGCACCCTCCTGCTAGCCGCGCATGAGTAGGGAGACCGTGTGTGGTGTCTTCGCGGCCTAGAGCACCCTCTTGGCAGTCTATATTCCGGATTTTAGCCCTCCTGTCGCATCTGGTGAGCCGTACCATAGCGAGGACCAAACGCGTTGTGAAACCAAAGCCAGGACCTGTACGACATCGAGCGCCTTAGCGAGGGCTGCGGTGGCCCATCATGCACGCTCCCGACCAAGTACAGCGACTTCCTGCGCCTCATCGAAGCAGTCGGCCCGCCCGCGGCGCCCCGTCCGACTCCCGTGCGGCTTCCGAAGATCCTGTCTGCGGGGGGCTCGGGCCTCAATGAGGAAGAGGAGGCTGCAATGACCGTGCCTGACACTCTCGGCGCCATGGGGTACACTGACGCGCCCCCGAGCGACGCAGATGAATCGAGCAGGCTGCGCGGCGGCGAGAGCGCGGCCCTTGCGCGACTCGACGCCGCCGTGTGCGCCCGCGCCGGATGGGTGTGCGCGTTTTCCAAGCCCGATACCAATCCCCTCCCGTACTCGCCCGGCAGCACGACGATGCTCTCGCCCTACCTCTCGCTTGGCTGCCTCTCGTGCCGCACAATGCACGCTGCCCTCGACGCCATCGTGCGCCAGGCGGAGGGACAACACACGACGCCGCCACAGTCGCTGCACGGCCAGCTCTACTTTCGGGAGTTCTTTCACCTTCTGAGCGCCTCGAGCCCGCACTTTGGCCAGACGCGCGACAACCCGCTGTGCCTCACGGTGGAATGGCGCGACCCCGCCAGAGACGCCAACGCGGCTGAGGCCCTCCGCCGCTGGGAGGGGGGCACGACGGGCGTCCCGCTCATCGACGCCGCCATGGTGCAGCTGAAGGAGGTCGGCTGGCTACACCACTTGCTCCGCCACGTAGTCGCTTGCTTCTTGACGCGCGGGCAGCTATGGATCGATTGAGAGGCGGGGCGCAACGTCTTTGACCGCCACCTCTTGGATGCGGACTGGGCAATCAACAGCGCCAACTGGATGTGGCTCTCGGCCACCTCCTTCTACACCTATCACCGCGTCTACTCGACGGCCCACTTCGCGCGCAAGTATGACCGCAGCGGCAGGTACGTGCGGAAGTGGCTGCCAGCCCTGCGGCGGATGCCCGACGAGTACGTGTATGAGCCGTGGAAGGCGCCGCTCACGGTGCAGCGTGCAGCGAGCTGCATCGTGGGAGTGGACTACCCGCTTCCAATCTGCGATCCGGAGAGCGCTGCGGCGGCCAACTTGACGCGCATGGACGCGTGCTATCGCAAGGCGCCGGAGGAGTGGAAGGCGCTCATTCCGCCCGCAGCAGCGGCAGAGGTGGCACGCGAGCGCAACGTGAACGTGCGCTCGAGGGTCCGCGCGCCAGCCTTCAGGCCGACGGCGCTACCACCGTCACCGAACACGGCGCCACTTGCCCATGCGCCACCTGCGGGATCTAGCGCCGTGGACTCGGGGGAGGGCCATCGCGGCGGGCCGCCGGCGCCGCCGCTCGGCCACCCGCTCGGCCGATCGCGGGGGCGATCGAACAGCCGAGGCCGCGGATCACGCGGCCGCGTCTCGCGCGAGTGCAGCACGGGGTGTACTGAGATCGAGAGACGAGAGTTGTCATCAGCTGCGCTCGAGCGCCGCGTCGTACACGGTAGCCGGTATGGCTGCGTCGACCGATGTCCCACTGACCGTTGGAGTGTTTCTGGAGTGTTATTCAGGTTTCTACTTTTCCAATTACTCGCTCGTCAGAGAAATGCCGCAGGTGTACAGCGCGTCACAGCCGAGACCACATCGTCGTTGTGTACGCCCCAGGTGCCAGGAGCTCCTGCCAGGAGCGCTTAAATCCCCTGGAGGCTCGCGGAGCTTGACACACACAGGACACATGGATTTTGGCGTCCGTTTTGAGTTTTTTTGCCGCGCGCGGGTGCGGTGGGGCCGGCCTGGCCGGCGCGCCGGGTGTGACCGTGAGCGGCGTATACACGTGCGTGTATTCCAAACGGTAGAGTATTGTGATTTGTGTCGTGTGGAGAGCGATGTGAGACAGTGAGAGCTGAGAGAGACCATGGACGCCAATTTGCGAATTTGGAGAGAGAGACTGAGAGACCAAAAGCCCTAGAGCCTAGTCTGGACGATCTTTTGCGCTATCTCCCCGTATCTCCCTCTATCTCCGCGTATTCTCCTCCATCTGCCCGTATCTGGACTGCCCGTATCTGCCCGCGCCGTATCTGCCCGTATCCGCGGCGGTATCTCCCGTGGTGGATCTCGTTCTCCCGGTATCTCCCGGTCTCTCCCAGTATCCCGCAGTATCCCGCGGCATCCCGCGGTACCCCGCCATATCTCGCCGTGGATACCGTGAAAAAAATCGTCCAGACCAGGGATAGACCAGTCACCAGACGAGAGAGAGAGAGACGAGATAGAGAGCGATCGCGAGCCGAGCTGCGCGACCTGCGAGAGGGGCGCACGCGCGCGCGCAGAGAGAGAAGAGAGAGAGAGAGAGAGAGAGCACACACACACACACACACACACACACACACACACACACACACACACAGAGAGAGAGAGAGAGAGAGAGAGAGAGAGAGAGAGAGAGAGAGAGAGAACACGCACATAATAGTTAAATATACCGACATAAAAAATAGTAGGATGTACACAAAGATGGCGGCACAGATGGACTTCACGCCCGGCCTGCTGTGTGCTCTGACGGCAAGCCTCTGGCACCAGACGACGCGTCGAGGCCGCCCGCGCCCCGAGGCTGCTCCAAGAGCCGGTCGGCGTGCCTCTGCTGCACCTGCTTGTAGGTTTGTAGCAAGCCGCGCCAGTCGAGCGAGGACGCGGCGGCGTCCGAGGCGGTGCTTTTGGAGGGCTTGCGCGCCTCGAGCTGCAGCCGGAATATGCCTACGCGCGGAGGCGGAAGCGGGGTTGGCGGAAGGGGGTCTGCAAGCCTGCATGCGAGCACGGAAGGGCGCCGAGCTCAGGGACGGCCGCAAGCCGCGCCTGCGGCGTGCGCGACGGACGAGGTTGACAGGCAAGTCCGCGTGCTGGCGACGGAGGGCGGAGCAGCGCGGGCGGGGAGCGGGGGAGGTGTGCGTGCGTGTGCGGGTTGGCGCCTGCAGCGTGTGGAAGGCTGGCGACTGCGGGAGGAGCATCAGGATGCCGCCGAGGGCGCGGAGGAGGTGCGGGTGCTGCTCCGGCTCGAGCAGGTGGAGCCGCACGTGCGTGAAGATCGGGGACTCGACCAGCTGCACCAGCTTGTCGATCTGGAGGAGGAACGGGAGCCTACTCCCGACCGACGGCGGTGACGGGGCGCCGCCCGCGCGCCGCGCCGGGGCGGTCCGGCGGAGAGGGCGGCGCGTGATCTCGAGCGACGCGAACTGCATCACGAGCTCAGCGGCGTGCTCGTACGCCTGCGCGACGAGGCACATCGACAGGAGCGAGGCCGGGTTGTGGCACCAGGCGGGGTAGAGCGTGCGGAAGAGCGCGGCGCCCTCGGCGGTGCCAACCCCCTTGCGCAGCAGCGAGCGGAGCGCGAGCGCCTCCGCCGACGTCAGCACGAGCACGTTGAGCGCCTGCACCATCTGCGACGCGAAGTCGAGGTCCCCCTCCGAGGTGAGGCCTCGCGCGAGCGTCTCGAAGATGCCGCGCGGCCCGAGCGTCTCGCAGAGCGCCGCCACGATCAGCCGGCCTCGCCGCTCGAGCAGCGGCCGCTCGGCGCGCAGCAGCGCGAGCAGCTGCTCGCAAAAGGCGGCCATGTGGTCCGTACCGTCGGGGGCGGCGCCGTCCTGCAGCTTGAGGCTCGACGCTCCTCCGCCGGGCTGCGCCGAGTGCTGCGCCGAGTGCTGCGCCGAGTGCTGGTCGCGGCCGTCCACCATCTTGGCGAGCGCCTGGGAGGGGCGGCGGGCGGGCGGCGGGGGCGGCGGGCGGGCGCCTCGGACGCGGCGTGGCGGGAGGGAGGCAGGTCCCGTGCGGCGGCGCCTCCGACGCTCCGCGCCGAACAGCCTCTGGGAACTGTCTAGGAACTGTCTAGGAACTGTCTAGGGAGGAGCCTCGAGCGCGAGGCGTACGACCTCTTCGGACGGGTTGCCGAGGCACTTGAAGAGAGGGGGCCACAGCTGCGGCGCGAGCTCCAGCACGCTCGCCGCGTTCTTGAGCAGAAGCATGTGCACCTGCGCCAGAGGTGCGTCGGTGTGCGGCTCCTCCCTAGACAGTTCCTAGACAGTTCCCGCGTCGGTGTGTGGCGCGCTCACGGCGAGGAGCCTCCCTCCCTCCCCCCTGCGGGGCGGCAACGCGCGCCCACTGCAGCGCGGCGAGCAGGGTGGGCACGTAGGCGGAGGAGAGGTGCGCCGCCAGCGCGTGCAGCACGGTGCCTACTCAACGAGCGCTCTCTGCGCGCTCCGACGGCGCGCGCCTGCCGGGTGCGCGAGCGGCGCGGGCGCGCCCATCTCGAACTGCGCTGCGTTGGACTGGTGCAGCAGAGCGCGCAGCGAGGTGTCTGCGCGCGCCGCCGCCTCGCGCAGCTCCTCCTCGGGGTGCCTACGGCGAGGGTCCGCAGGGGAGGGTCCGGGAGGGGCGGGGAGGAGGGCGGCGGGGCGGTGCGTCTGCGCGTGCGAGAGGCTCGAGAGGACCGCGTTGAGGACGGGCGCGCAGAAGGGGAGCATCAGGGCCTGACGACACACGCCGCGGGCGTCGCAGCGGCCGAGGGCGGAGTGTGGGGTGGGCGACGTGTGGGGTGGGTGGTGGGAGGGGTGATGGGAGGGGTGATGGGAGAGGGGGGGGCGGCGTCGGCGGCGCCTGCGCGTGCGAGATGAGCGGGTGGAGCCAGGAGAGGGAGGTGAGGGTGGTGAACTTGTCGCGCGAGGAGCAGTGCGTGACGAGGACGTGGAAGAGCGGCGCGTAGTCCACCTGAGCCCGGGGGGGGCGGGGGGGGGGGGCGGCTGCCGGCGGAGCCCCAAGGGGCCCGGGGGGCCTGTTGCCGGCGGGCGGCGCGCGGGAGAGGGCCTTGGGCGAGGCGGCGGCGGAGGTGGGAGGAGAGACAGCGGAGGAGAGATGCGCCCGACGGCACCTCCGCCACACGCGTGACGCCGGAGGGGCTGGGTGGAGGGGGGAGGGGGGAGGGCGGAAGGAGGGAGGCCGCCTCCTCCGCCTCTCCGATCTCGCGCAGCAGCTGGTTGAGGGCATCGAAGGTCTGGGTCCGAATCTCGCGGTTCGCGTCGGCGAGCATGTGGAAGAGGCCTGGAGGATGTGGAGGAGTCACGAGCTCTGCAGCGGTCTGAGCGGTGCCTCGGAGGAGTCTCGGAGGCGCCTCGGAGGTGGGTTCGGAAGCGATCGGAAGTGCCTCGTGTGCTCGGGAGTGTCTCGGACGTGTCTCACACCGTCGAGGAAGACTGGCAGGTGGGCGACCAGGTCGAGGTCTGGGACGGAGCCGAGGGTGGAGATCCATCCGACGAGGAACTGGCGCGAGAAGGGGTTCGAGACGTAGATCCGCTCGCCGAGCAGCGGCATGAAGGCGGCCAGGTCGAACGCCTCCGACTCGGTGACGACGTCCTTCATCAGCCGGTCGAGCAGCTGCATGCCGTTCTGGACCTGCACGTCGGTGTCGGCGGAGAGCTTGAAGAGGCCGTCGAAGATCTCGTTGATGTGCGCCACGCACGACGAGCGCGCCACCTTTGCGATGTTGTACAGCGCCTCGCACGCCGTGTACCGCACTCGCGGGTCGGGGTCCGAGAGCGCCGACAGCACCGGCGGCAGCAGCTGCGGCAGCATCTGGCCAGCGTGCTGGCGCAGCCCGATGGCGGTGCCGGAGAGGGCGTGCAGCGCGCCCTTGCGCACGTGCGCCTGCGCCGAGTTGGCCAGCTCGAGCGCGAGGTGCTTGACGATCGCGTTGATCTTTTCGTACTGCTGCGCGTCGCGCAGCTCACGGACGTGGGCCTCGACCTCAAGCGCCGCCTGCTTGCGCTTCTCGTACTCCTTCTGGCCGAGCGCGCGGATCGTGGACGCGGGGAGGAGGCTCATGAGGTGTGAAGAGGCTTGAGCTTTGATCTGATCTGCCGACCGAAGCAGACCAGGCGCGAGAGCGGAGCGAGCGACAAAATAACGCACCCGCCGTCAGCGGAGCTGGGAAGAGGACCGCCGCAAACGGCGTGGCGTGGAGCGGTTGAGCATCCCTCCGGAGGCCCCTCTGCGCCGGGGAGGCGTTGTTGGAGGCTAGGACGCAAGCTCCGTCGCCCTTTTAAAAATGGGGGCTCACTCCGCTATGCTCAGATCGAAATTTGGAGGGCCTACCTTACCTCCTATCCCAAAAGTTATTTAGTACCACCCCGGTTTCGGACATCGGCGAACGATCGGAAGGGTGCCTCCTGCACACAAATGGAGTCCAGCGATGTGGGACCTCAGTCCCAGAAGCTTGGAGCTTCAGGCCGCGACCACGTGGCTAGGTGGACACTAAAGTGCCATTTTGGCGCCAAATCTTGGCGGGAAATGACACGTGGCTTGGCGGGAGTGTGGTGTGGCTGCGCCGCTCGCCAGCGCTGCTGTTGAGCGCCAGCTGCTGCTCCCTTCAGCCAGACGGCCGGGCCTGCGCAGCACGACCGCTGGCCTTCCTCCTGCACCACAGGAGCGCGCCAAGGCGCGCGTCTGGGCAAGCAGTGCGTCTCATCGCGATGCGAGAGTCGACGCTGTGACGCCGCCGCTCGCCGGCTAGAATGACAGTGGCAGCATTCGAGTACGCGTCGAGCTGTGCGTACCAGCACTTGTATGCGAGCTCATTGTGTCCCTGAGCTGCTGTGGGGTGCGTGGGCTCAGCTGCGGAGCACGTACTGGGCGGCGGTAGGGGGGTGGTACTAAATAACTTTTGGGATAGGAGGTAAAAGTTTAAGGTGTTGCTGCGCAAAAGGGGTCGGACACAGGGCGCAGCTCATGCTAAGAGCTAGAAGGGGAGCTAGAGAGAACGACTACCCTGTCCCGTTATTGCGTACACCAACACCACAAAAGCTCTCTCTCTCCTGTCCTCCTCACCACTCAGACCGCACAGAGGGGGGGTCACAACTACCGAGTCTCTCGACTAGCTGCCACGTTGCCGACCGAGAGCGGATCTCCTCCTGCTCCGCAAGGAGGGTGGCAAAGGCTAATGTCTTGCCGGAGCCGCCGGGCGCGTTGACGACTTGGAGAAGGTCGCCCTTGTACTTGTACTTGTAGAGATGCTCGAGGGGGTGCTTTGTGGGGCGGTGCGCAGCCAGGTCAGAAGTGAGGGGAGGCGCACCCTCACTCTCCTCGGTTGCAGAGCTCGTCGGAGGCTGCGTCACGAAGGGAGGGTCGCGATAGCAGTCCTCGGGCGAGCCGACGCGCATGTCCAACCAGCGCTGGGACTCGTTGTGACGGCAGACGCCGGCTGCCTCTCCAACCGCTTCTGTAGCGTCCTTCTTTGCCCGGTGCATGGACTCGATCCGATTCCGCAGCGTGTCGGTCCCCAGCGGCGGTGCTGCGCGGGAGGCGGCCGCGGGCACGCTGGGCTCGATCAGCGGCTTTCCCTCAGTTGCCCCGAAAGCACGGATTTGGCGCATGGCGGACGTTCTTGGCTTCAATTTTACGAATGTCTTGGCACCAGCTGAAGGCTTGTCCCCGTCCACGGCTCAGATCACGCAGTTCGTGCACGGTATTCGGATTTTGCTATTTGCTCGTGTGGGGGTATATCGCAGATTTGTCAATGGTACCGCGTCTGCGACGCGGGCGCCTTGCGGGCAGAGCCCTTATAACCACCCTTTATATCTTGCGCGGTCAAAAATCGAAAAGAAGTCGAAGCGTTGCCGCGAGCCGGGCCTCCCATCCCTCCCTTGGGCTGTCCGTTTTCTTTTTCTTTTTTTGCGAGCCGCTCTGCACGCAAGGCGCCCGCGTCGCAGACGCGGTACCATTGACAAATCTGCAATAGGAATCCTATACTGCCAACACGAGCAAATAGCAAAATCCGAATACCGTGCACAAATGCGGCGATGTGAGCCGGGCAAGCCTTCAGCTGGTGGCAAGACATCCGTAAAATTGAAACCAAGCAAGAACGTCCGCCAAATCCGTGCTTTCGGCGCAACTTGAGGGAAAGCCGCTGATCGAGCCCAGCGTGCCCGCGGCCGCCTCCCGCGCAGCACCGCCGCTGAGGACGACACGCTGCGGAATTGGATCGAGCCCATGGAGGAGGAGGGCGCAGTCGGCGAATTGGAGGAGGAGGAGGAGGGCGCAGTCGACATTGGCGTGTCTGACTCAGAGGAGGAGTTGGAGGTGCTCCAGCAACCTAACCTGATCCAGAAGCTCGCCGACGTTGTCACTCAACGTGCGTCATGCGTGATCGAGCTTGAGGGAGGAGCTCCGCTAACGATTCGGCTGAGCCCTGGCCTCGACACCTCGACACCAAACCTAGACACCGACTCGACACCTCGACACCCCATGCCAACTCGACCAACTCGACACCCCTCGACACCCCTCGACACCATCTAGGCTGGGACCATGCTCGTCCGTGTCAAGGTGCCAAACTCGACACCTCGACACCCCTCGACACCGCTCGACACCGCTCGACACCGCTCGACACCACCTCGACACCTCTGATGATCCTAAACACAGCAGAGACGTGTAGACCCATTGAAGTCACAGAGTTAGAAAATCAGGGTTGCAGCAGCAATCAAACTTGGCTGGCAGTACTTTCATCCCTCAGTTGCAGCCTCTCAAGTTCTAGCTCAAGTGCAAGTTGCAGCTCAGTTGCACCCCTGCAATGACCAATGTAGCAACCATGGCAGTACTCAGGTAGCCCTCAGGTGCTGCACAGCACCTTGTACAGTGGCAATGAGTCCTCACACCAGTGAGCTTGTGCCATGAGTGTGGACCTGTGGTCCATTGCGCTTTGACCTTTGTGCCATTGTGCGCACTGGCGACGCTGCAACGGCGACGATGGCAGCGGCGGCGACGCTGAGCGCGTTTGGAGGCAGCAGCAGCTCCTCGCGAGGCGCCTTCGGAGGGGTGCCACACCCCTTTCCCAGCCGCGCGCGAGTTGAGCTCCGATTTACGCTCTTTTTCGCACACGCCCGACGCTAGTAGGTGAGGATCGACCATCCTCCGCAAGCACACCTTGTGATTTTTGGGTCAAAATCGTCCCGATTTCATAATGTTCGTTCGTACGTGCATCCGCGGCGCCCAGCGCGGTGCCAGCGGCTCCCATACCTCTAAGAGGCCACCCACCTCCGTATAGACCCTTATATCCGCGGTTTACGCCCAATAGAGGCAGCTGCAAGAGGGCCCGGACGGGCACTGCGGCACACACTGCTCGCTGCTCGGCCATGCGGTAGCGTCTGGTGATGCCGCCCCTGCGCGGGCGGGGGCGTCTCGCTCGGCAGCAACTGCGCCGCGCAGCGCAGGTTCGAGGGTCGCGGTGGGTGGGTGCACTGGAAGACGTAGCGGTCGAGAAAGCGCTCAGCGACCGCTACGTCTCGAGGATGGAGCCATCGCGCGGACCCGACCGGCCGACCGGCAGTAGCAGCAGGCGCCGGAGGGCGCGGGAGGCAGCGGCGACACCTCGGGCCAGAAGCGCGAGCCCTAGGCTGGTGAGGGGGCCCGCTCATGCGTAAACGGCTCTGGGACTTAGCTAAATCGCGCATCGAAATCGGGACGATTTTGCCAGGGCACCGTCACAAGGTGGGGCTTCGGCGGGCGCGTCTTCGTCGAGCGGTGGTGCATCTCCCATGCTCCCACCCGCGCCCTCCTCGCAGCCCGCCCGCGGCCGACACCGACGCCCTCACGGGCTCACCCTAGTCGTAGGTGCGGGTTTTTTGCGTGCCCTCCGTCGATACGGGGCGCTGGGCGATGGCTGGGCTTGTCGCCGGGCGAGCTGGCCCCTCAGTCGGTCGCGGAGATGCGAAATCGAGGCGGCGCGGCCCCTGCGCGCAGCCTATCCGGCCGGCGCGCGCATGGTTCCGTAGCCCGTCTAGTGCCTCACTGACCAACTCCAGCGCTACGGTCTACGTGGCCGGTGTGGTACTGGGGCTGGGCAGCCTTGGGGCCGGCGGAGACCGCCGTCTAGCGGTCGCACTAGTCTCTTTTCGTTGTTCAACCTGTTTGTTCAACGGTTGTTCAACCATGCTTTGAGCCTTAATTATTAATTCGGGTTTGGGTCTCTGAGGTCGATACTAGCGTGGCGTCTATAACTTGCCACAAGCATGCTTTACAAAAGTCCAGCTCAGCTGGACTCGCAGAACGGCCGTCCGCGCGCGCTGTGAACAGCGCCGTGGTTGAACACTGTTCAACGACGTTGAACACGTGACGGTCCAGTAACCGCACACCCGTCGACACTCCTCGACACGGACAAGCATGGTTTCAGCCTCGACAGGCCTCGAGACAGGCCTCGACAGGCCTCGAGACAGGCCTCGACAGGCCTCGAGACAGGCCTCGACAGGCCTCGAGACAGGCCTCGACAGGCCTCGAGACAGGCCTCGACAGGCCTCGAGACAGGCCTCGACAGGCCTCGAGACAGGCCTCGACAGGCCTCGAGACAGGCCTCGACAGGCCTCGAGACAGGCCTCGACAGGCCTCGAGACAGGCCTCGACAGGCCTCGAGACAGGCCTCGACAGGCCTCGAGACAGGCCTCGACAGGCCTCGAGACAGGCCTCGACACCTCTACTAGTGGCTCTACTAGTGGCTCTACCCCTCGACAGCAGCTCGACACCCTCGCTCGACACCGGGCCTCGACACCTCGACACCAGGGCTCAGCGATTCGGCCGGCCACCCAACGGCAACGCCGCCGCCCATAACCCGCCACCCACAAAGCGCCTGCTCTACTATCCCGGACCACCCACTCCACTTTCCACGGATCATGCCCGTGATAGCACCATCACTGCCGCCGTCCTGGTTTTGAACGTACGTGGCAGCTAGACTCGGAACTCGGTAGTTGTGACCCCCCCCTCCCTGAGAGAGGAGAGCAGGAGAGAGAGCTTTTGTGGTGTTGGTGTACGCAATAACGGGACAGGGTGGTTGTTCTCTCTCTCTCCTCTTCTAGCTCTTAGCATGAGCTGCGCCCTGTGTCCGACTCCTTTTCGCTTTTGCGCAGAAACCTTAAAGTTTAGGGACTAGGCTGCCCTCCAAATTCGGGTCGGAGCGTACGTAGCGGAGTGGGCCCCGAGTTTGAAATGGACATCACCATTTTGGCTCGCCAACAAGCGTTTTTTCAAAAGAAATCGCGCGCGCGGACGCGGCTAAAGCGAGCGACCCCAAGTTCAAAAAGGCAGCGCGAGCCCTTGTAGCAGGCTCGATTCTCGGATTCGATGCCGCAGCTGGAGAGGGTGCTGCAAGAGAACAACAAGCCCCGCGGCGGCTTCTTCTCCGCGCTCTCGCCTCGCCGTGCCGGCAAGTCCAAGCCGCCGCCGAAACCGCAGGCGGCGCAGCCAGCGCCAAGGGCTCCCCCGGGCGGCCTCTGTCGCTCCTCCAAGGCGCACCTCGAGGCGCTCGCCGCGCTCGCCGCCGTCGACAACCTCTCCGACCTCGACACGCCCGACATTGTGCGCCGCAGCCACCTCGGCCTTGCCATCCGCCGGCCGCAGCGCTCAGCGCCCACGTCTCGCCGCCGCACCCGCTCGCATGGCGCCCCATCGCGACCTGTGTCCGCCGCGCTCGCAGGTGGTGATTGGGACGCAGTCGTCCGGCAAGTCGTCGCTGATCAACGCGCTCACCGGCTTTGACCTCATGCCGACCGGCACGGGGATGGTGACGCAGGCGCCGCTGCGGCTCGTCCTCGAGCACTCTGGCTCCGACTCGCTGCTGGCGGAGCTGGGGCCGGTGCTTCCGGCGCACGCGGGCTTCGAGGGAGGGGGCGGCGGCGGCACCACCGGCGGCACCTTCAAGCTCTCGGTGCCCCCGACGGCAGAGCAGCAGGAGGCGCTCCGGCAAGCCATCTCTGCCGTCGGCCGCGCGCTCGCCCCAAACCCGATGAGCATCACGCGCGAGACGATCACGCTGCGGCTCGCGTCGTCGCGGCTGTCCAACATGTCGCTCATCGACCTCCCCGGCCTCACCTCGGTGCCGCTCGTCTCGCAAGGCCAGCCCGAGGACATTCGCGAGCAGCTGCGCGATCTCGTCGCGTCGTTTGCCGCAAACCCGCGCGCGACCATCGTGCTGGTGTCGCAAGCGACGGGCGACCTGGAGGCGGACCAGGCGTTCGAGCTGGTCCGGCGGCTCGACCCGCGCCTCGAGCGCACCGTCGGCGTGCTCACCAAGGCCGACCTCGCCACGCGAGATGCGGACGTCGAGCGCGTGTGCAGCTTTCTGTCGGGCAACGCGTCGGCTGAGGTCGTGCCGAAGCGAGGCCGGTTCGCGGTGTGCGTCAACGGCGGCGAGCGGGGGGGGGAGCAGGCCTTCTTCCAGACCTCGCCCCTCGGCAACCGAGCGCGCACGCGCGGCTGCGGCGGGTCGCTCGGCAGCCCTCAGCTCGCGTCCTTCCTGGCGGCGACCGCGCTGCAGCAGCTGGTCGCAGCCACGCCGGCCATCCTGCAGCAGGTGGCGGCGCCTCGCTCGCACCCCGAGAGAGGGAGAGCCCGGCGAATGAGCGGCCCCGCCCCCTGCACCCCCCCCCCTCGCAGGCGCAGCAGATGCGCGAGCGAGCGCAGCGGCGGCTGACGACGATGGCGCCGTCCGTGCCGACGGACGACACGTCGCGCCACCTGCTTCTCAACACGCTGCTGATGCACACGGCGCGCGAGATCGAGACGGCGCACCGCTCCGCGTCGCGCTCGACGGGCTACCGCATCAAGCTCGCCTTCGAGCGGCTCGAGGCCGCCCGCCCAGCCGACTCGGCACCTGCCCCCGCTCCCCTCCCCGACCTGCGCCCCGGTGCCCCTCGCGGGCAGGCGGCGCTGAACCGGCTCGACCCCTTCGAGGACCTGGTCGCGTGGGAGCGGCTGGTGCACGAGGCGGTGCGCAACCACGAGGGGTGGGGCTTCTCGATGCTGCAGGGCTCAGGCGCTCGACTCCCCCCCTCGAGTACGAGCAGAGTAGGGGAGCTACGGGAGGACGCCCTAACGTGCTTCTTGCTCCGATACGAGATGAATTTGACACCGGCGAGATCTGACGGACGGCAAAGGAAAGCGAATTAAGATGGGAAAAGACACCGAGCCGCTGCGGTCGGGAAAGGCACGAGCCCTGAACGTGAAAGTAGCGCAGACATGCCTCGCGATGCACGTCTGACACCAGGTCACACACTTTGCAGCAACGGACGCAGAAAAGGACCGTGAAGACAAAATGTCCGGAGGATGGAAAGTACGTGCCGAACCCTAGGGTGGT